GATATATCAAAAGAAAGAAGGAGACAGAATTTAATACATACCTGTCGATAGTATACAGTGTCTGACGAATTGTATTCCATTGCATTGGCACATATTAAAAACACATCTCCCTGCAAGATAATTACCAGACAAGGTAAAAAAAAGAGCTTTTTCAAACACTAATCTCGTCACGAATTCACATATATTCAAAGTAAGAGACCAATTTGAGCCGAAACAGATCAATAGTTACTTCGAGTTAAACACCAATTATGAAACAGACTTAGTTCTGCACCCTACACTAGCACGGAAACAACATCAAGCAATGGTTAAATGAAGATGCCAAGCAACAAAACTTTTAAAGCGCGGCTCAAAAGAGGAACCAACTCGAATGCATCCAAACTATGAAGGATATGACTCCCGAAGAAAAATCAAGGAGAACCATCGGAGGAGTCCAGTGAAGGCAAACTACAAGACGTACCTCGAATTGTTCTAAACTCGTATAAGCTCCAGAGTCTAGCTTCTTCCGCACTGTGCTAAAATCCATCGGATTCGTGATAATCTCATGATAGTCAGGAAGCTGTAACACATACCAAACAGAGATAAGACAAACAGAACAATAACGAGTTTAAACATCAACATAAAGGGACAAGACAGTAAGTAAGTCACCTCCTCAGGATCAACCGGATCTGAGTAAACGCCATACGTATCTTTCCTACAAGTGTTTGTAAAAACAACACCGATTAAATAAAAGCATCAACCTAGTTGGGAATCACTTCAACCAAAACACAAAATAAAGAGACTATGTCAAAGAGCAAGGAAGTGAAGATACTTTTGAAGTCTATCGAGGATGAACACCAACAACTGTTTGTCTGGCAAAGGTGTAGTGGGCCCGCCAGACTCCACGGGTGACCCTGTCCACATTTAAAATTAAAAATCATCAGAAGAAAAAAAAATCTCGCTTTTTAATCCTCGTACGAATTTCCCAGTTTATTGCCTTTTCAAGAATTAAATAAACAAAATTAAAGAAGGCTTTTATATATATAAATATATATATCTATGGTACCTTGAAGAATGTCTGTCGCTTTCGAAGCCTTTTCACCCTGCAGAAGATTATCATCATCATCATCAATTCCAAGAATCCATTTTAAAAGGTCAGCTCTTTCCGTAAATAATACGAAAAACACAAGTAGGTTTTTCTTATGTTTATGCAAAAGAATCAAACAAGACACGGTACAAATGAAAGTATAACAGATATCACGGATAAGACAAACTGTAACTTGTTGTCTGAGAGACATGATGGTTTCAGTGTTCCAAAGTAAACAACGGTTTTTTTAAAATACCAGAAATCATCTGATAACTTTAAATACTAGTATATAATAATATTAAAGCGAGAGAATAAAACACACAAAATAATTAACGAAAACAAAAAGGGAAATAATTTACAGAAAAAGCTTCAACCAATTAAAATCAAGACTCAGTCAAACTCTTCCTTCCACTCATCTCTATATTCCTTCAAGCACAAGACGAACACTTCACATAACAAACGCGCGAAAAAAAATCCCAACTATATATTTTTAAACCTGATTTTAAACTCGAATTAGAAAAAAAAAAACGAACCGTGAATCCAGATCCGCCGCCGTCAATCTTCCGTCTATTGACGGGAGTGTTCGGATCGGAACCGCGGGATTGGGAATTAGGAGAATGTCGAATGGAGTGGGAGTTTAATCCGTACAAGAGCTTGTGTTTCTTCTCGCGACGCTCGTCGTCGTCTTCATCGCTCAAGGGGGAATCGGATGAAGAAACTCCGTTGGGATTAGGGTTCCGGCGCTTGGATCGGGTGCCGGAGTTGGGAGAATTAGGGTTTTTGGAGCCGGATCTAACGTCGTTGTCGTTGTTTTTGTGATGGTGTTGTTGTTGTTGTAATTGTTGCTGTTTGATAGCTCGTTTTTGAAGGTCTAGAAGAGATGGCCTTCCTTTCTTTTTCTTCTTCGTCATTGTTTCTGCTACCTCACCCATCCTCTCTCTCTTCTTTCTTTCTCTCTCCTCTTCCCCTTTCTCTTTCTCCTTGGAGACAACAGAGGCGTTTGGTTTTGTGTTTCCTTACGTTTTTTTTTTAATTATTGAAATTGAAATTGAAATTAAAATTTTTACTTGTTGTGAGCTTGCACGTGTAGAAAGTGTAACGTAGACCTGGGTTAGTTCGTGATTCACATAAGTTTTTGCTGGACATAAGTGGGCTGCAATGATGTTTCTGACTATTTGGGCCTTAACAAGACTTGTGACGACCCACTTTACTTTTGTGATGTTACCATGAGAAGTTGTATCTCTGATTTGACTATTCTTCTTCCTTTGTGTTATTAGTTTAGTGGTGGGCAAAATATCAGAAACTTTTGATTTGATTCATTATCTATTTCTATTCGAATATCTATAACTCTAAGAAATAAAGATCAAAAACTTTAGAAGATCAATAACATTTTATTTTGTAATGCAATATTAGTAAATTATGTTGTTTTGGATTTTTTATTTTATTTGTATGGATCGAATTAGATATCAATCAAAAATATAATTTTTTTCGTAACACAGAGTAGTCACAGCTCGAATCGAATCACATTGAATGAATGATTATTCATACAAAACAGATCACGAATACGTGTAGCCATTCAGGTCACGAATACTTCCAAATTTTGGATTTTCGATACGTGTCCACCCCAATTATTGGCTATTGCTATGCATATTCTTCTTTCACCAAAAAGAAATATCACTTGAGTTTTAAAAACATTAGTGTTTAATAAACACTGTTTCTACAACTGATATTATAGACTCCAAATACTTAAAGAATGAGACTGAATCAGACTACCACATGGGAGACAAACAAACGCCAACCACAAAAAAATCATTGCATATTATTGTTCCTTTCTTAGGTAGTTTGTTCCTATAAAGATATTTACTAACAACTCATCAGCAAGTAAAATTCTAGCTTTCTTTCATCTCGATCATGAATGGCTCACCTTTCATCTCCTCCCGAGATTCTCTTCGGATTGGAACCTTAATCCCTGGCGACAAAGCTCTTGACCACCACATCCAAGAACACATTCTGTATGCTTTAATCATAGCGGTATTAACCTGAAGCCTCTTTTGGTCATAGTCGTTTTGGGATAAACGCAATTGGGAGCCATTCATACGCCATGTGAAAAAGCTAGACATGTTGAATTGGATAGTTATTCAGGCTATTATATCAATATATTGAGTTCGATTGATACTTTTTGGGTTGACAGTTTCTCAATATATAATACTCGTGGAGAGTCGTTAAATTAAAAGGTCTGACTCTTTTCATTCACTCAATATATAGCTAAATGAAAAATAGTTCAACTAATTGCTTCCAAAACGTTTAAGCCCAAAATCTGTAGCTTGTGTAGCATCATTACACAAGAACTCATTTCTGAAATAGAGATACAGATTCTCAGGTAAACAGATCATTACATCAGTGGCTTCAAAGAAATGAAGAAGAGAACAGCTCATATGTATACACTGGTGTTAAAAGGAAGATCAAAGAAGTGATTCTAGAGTTGCCCTCTCACACTGATTCCTTAACCAGCAGCAAAAGAGATTTCACAAAAACTTCAAAATCCTGTCATTTCCACAGACTCTACATTAAAGCATAAAGTCATTTACGACAATCATGTGTTAAGTGTCTCTCAAGCATTTCATCGAACAGATTTACCACAATTTATAAATATCCTATCCTGATCCAATTTGGATAATTTCATCTACAATATAATCATTCAACTGATCTTTAGCCATGCTTAGTGTAATCTAAACTCAAACTGATCCTAGAAATCACTTTCTTATAACATATCACTAAGTCAGAGCAAGGCCACACACATCATAAAAAAAAAATCAATAGGGTGCAAAGTGAGAGAGCATCAGCAGATGAATAGTTATCAACAAGAACTTACCTGTTAAAATTCAGAGATCAAGTGTATCCCATCACTTGCTCCCTCTCTGCACCACCATACAGTTCTTATCCTAACTCTAATCAATTCATCAAAACTCTTTTTTCTAATTGGAAACTATAAACCTTAATGAAACAATCTCTAAAACCGAAATTCATTTGCATAGGTTAAATTGATGTTATGTAAAAGGATCAATCAATGTCCCCTTAGTTATGCGGCGATGAAGAAGGAGCTCATATATACACACACCTAAATCAGAAACCCTAGAGATTAAAAGGTAACCCGACCCAGACCGAGCTGAATCGAGTGGAGTTTATTATATTCCAATAACCGGATGACCGACGCAATAAACCGAACCGAAAAATCGAAGGGACAAATATTTAATGCGAATAAATATATCGTAATTACTGCTATGATTAATTATCATTGATTAAGGGAAGGGCATCACTGGGTCATATCACTTGCCGCTGAATATGAAGAAGCACATGAGGAAGCACATAAGCGAGACCAAAAATTAAACCTTGTAGACTCGACAGCCAATGATGAGTAATCACCAAGATCGATGACGTGGCGATATATATTTGAAATCCCGCCTAAACCCCTCACTTTTTTACATTTCGTGCGAAATTCAATTTTTTTTGCCCTTTATTGACCAAAGATATTTTACAACCTCCCCCCCCCCACTAGCCCCTCTTCTTCATCTCTTGGCCTCTCACTTGAATCTTCTCCTCACAAACACGTACGATTCTTTTGCTCTCCTCTCTCTCTCTACAAACCCTACGATCAAGGTGAGAATCCTCCGATCTTCTTCGTTTTTTCTAGTTTTGATTCGTCTCAGCTTCTCTCTCGAATTCGTTTTTGAATATGTATGCTCTGAACGGAATACTCTCTCTGTTTTGATAGTTTTTGTTTATCCTCCTCATAAGTTTGCGATTATAATCACTACTTGACTAGTTTCTCGATGTTGTATATCGATCTCGCTTTAGAACCGAATATTCTCTTATGGTTGCGATATACGTGTAGTTTATTCGCTGATGATCTCTGTGATATACGCTTGCAGATTCGATTATGAAAGGAGGAAAATCAAAGACTGAAACCAGGAGCTCCAAGTAAGTTTCAGCCAGATCCATTTGTGATTTTTATTTTTATTTTTAAGTCAATAGATCTTATCGTTTTCTGATGCGAAATTGCGTTTTGTTTATAGGCTCTCTGTGGCAAAGAAGCCTGCAAAAGCAGCAGGTCGTGGCAAAGCGGCGGCTAAGGATCCTAACAAACCTAAGAGACCTGCCAGTGCCTTCTTCGTTTTCATGTAATCATCATCCTCTCTATTTTTATGTGTTTAGTTGAGTCGGAAGTTTTAATCATTTAAACTTATATTTGTTTTTGATGTGATCGTTTGTTACTACTTGCGTTGACTGTGTATCGATTTGACCTAATTTTTTATGTGTTAAAATACTTTTTTTTTCTGGCTTTATTAACTAAAGGGAGGATTTCCGTCAGACTTACAAGAAGGAACACCCCAACAACAAATCTGTTGCTGCTGTGAGTTTTATCTTCTTCCTTTTTTTTGATTTGATTGTGTACCATATGCTTTGTCTTTGAAGTTATTATATACTGACTATGAGCTTCAATGGTTAACAGGTTGGAAAGGCTGGTGGAGAGAAGTGGAAATCCTTGTCTGACTCTGTACGTTTCTCTAATCTTAAGTTGATTGTATTTGTGGATTATATTCTTTATGAGTGTGTCTTAACCTTTGAGGTTTACAATATTGTAGGAGAAGGCTCCCTTCGTAGCTAAGGCTGATAAGCGCAAGGTTGAGTATGAGAAGACCATGAAAGCCTACAACAAGAAGCTGGTAGGTTTTAGTTTCAGTATACAATCTGAACATGTCATTAGTTATTCGAGAGTAGTACTGGTTGACCAACGTTGATGTGTTGTTGTTTCTCAGGAGGAAGGTCCAAAGGAGGATGAGGAGGAGTCTGACAAGTCTGTGTCTGAGGTGAATGATGAGGAGGATGCGGATGATGGTAGTGATGAGGTTAGTTCTTTGATTCTTTTAAAGTTGAATTTACATCATTATTTATGAATTACAACTCTGTTTAGTTACTTCTTTTGTTTCTTTTGCATCACTATAATTTTAAAAACACTTTTTTTTATATTTAGGAGGAAGACGATGACTAAAGAAGTTGAAGAAGCTGGTAGCACAATATAGGACGCTACAAGGATCTCTGGGATGTTTTTTTTCTTCTTTTTTCTTATTTACTGATGTTTCAACTTAGTAAGCTGCCAACTATCTCTCACTGATTCTGATTCTACGTGTAATGGAAAAAGTGTGTAGAATGTTTGGATGAGAGATTTGCAGCTCTTATGTAACGATTTAGCTTTTTATCGTTCTAAAATATGTTATGCTCTTTCTAATCTCCGCTTCTACATCCACTAAATGATTGAAAATGGGACGATGTGGTATCTTTTCATCAATTCAAAATGGGACGATGGACAAACATAACTGGTTACAAAACTACTCATCAAACTCGTGTCCGCAAGGTAAAGGTGACAGGTCTTTCTCCATTTATAAAATTAGAGCTGACATTTCATTCTTCGTCTTCTATATTTTTTGCGCCAATGGCAAGCTTAACTTAGATTTCTATACCGGAGACATAATTTGTGTTCTCAGCAAAATAAATTTAGATCGCCTCTTCAATATGAGGACGACTAGCTTTAAAGTATAAATAGACAGTGGCAACACTAGCTGGAAATGTACTTTCATGCTACGTAAACATATGATAAATTTGGACACAGAGACAAGATTGCAAGCCAATATTGTAATTCTTCATTGTTTCAATGGACCTTAAATGGGCTTTTATCTCTTAAACATAGAGAAGACGATTCGATCCTTCGCTGTGTCACAGTCAAATTTTCGGGGTTTTTTTTTTTCCTTTTTTTTTTTTTTGGTTGCAGCTTTCGATCCGGACAAGGAGAATTCTGGTGGAGAAGGAAAATATTTGATCGATATCGAAGCTCGGATCTTAAGTTTTGGTGATCCCTGAAATGGCGGGGCAGAATCCGAACATGGATCAATTCGAGGCATACTTCAAGAGAGCAGATTTGGACGGAGATGGTCGGATCAGTCGAGCCGAAGCTGCTGCCTTTTTTCAAGGATCTGGCTTGCGCGAGGAAGTTTTCTTCCAGGTTTTTTTTTTTAAAAAACGCTTCTTCTTAGATTATTTCATTTGAATGTAATGCTTTATTGTTAGATTCTGAATAGCCTATGAACTGAATAAAATATCTAGCAGCCTTTACCTTGGATATGTTGTGAAGAACTTTTAAGTGTATGATAGTAAGTAACGTTTGCTATATTAATTAAACTGTCTATTGATCAGTTATGTTCTGCGTTTTTAGATATGGTCGCATTCTGATCGTTCACGGAGTGGTTTCCTTGGTCGGCAAGACTTTTTTAATTTTCTGAGACTTGTTACAGTAGCACAGAGCAAGAGAGACCTGACACCTGAGATTGTTAATGCGGCACTGTATACTCCTGCAGCAGCCAAAATACCACCTCCCAAAATCAACCTCTCAGCTATTCCTACACCCCAACCTAATCCTGCTGCTACCGCAGCCCGTCCGGTTTCCTCAACAGGTTATCAGAACGTTGGGTTTAGAGGACCAGGAGCTCCAAATGCTAATGTCAACCAGAATTATTTTCCACCTCAACAGAGCCAGCAAGTGAGACCTAATCAAGGAGTATCTGGGCTGACTTCACTTAGACCAACTGTTGGTCCAGGGTATAGAGCAAATGCCTTACCAGGTCAATTTCAACCAGGTCCTGTTGGTAATGTTACTCGTCCTCCTCAGGCTGTTCCCACTAGTGCACCTGGTCCTGGTGGTTCAGAATATAGACCAAATGCCTTACCAGGTCAATTTCAACCACGTCCTCCTCAGACCGTTCCCACTAGTGCACCTGGTCCTGGTGGTTCAGAATATAGACCAAGTGCCTTACCAGGTCAATATCAAACAGGTCCTGTTGGTAGTGTTACTCGTCCTTCTCAGGCTTTTCCAACTAGTGCATCTGGTCCTGGTGGTTCAACGTTTAATCTTGATAATTTGTATGCTGGAAACACCAGTGTATACTCGTCAGGCTTTGGAGGGGGCAGCTCAGCAGCACCTTATCCTGGTGTAAAACCAGAGTCACAAATAGATCCAAAAGCGCTGGTTGTATCTGGAAACGGAGGTGACATGTTTTCCTCCTTCTCGCAAAAACCACAACCCACTCTGAGTAATTCTTCAATCAGTTCAGCCATTGTTCCTGCTTCTGCTGGAACCCAACCTCCACTGAAGCGTAATGCTCTCGACTCTCTACAGAGTACATTCTCAATGCTGCCAGCAGGAAATCAACCTCATCAGCCAAGGCCAGCAGCAAGCTCACAGCCGCCTACAATGTCTTCTCAAGGTCCATCCTCTGGTTTGCCACATGGAAATGCAGTTGGATCCGGCCATCCAACTCCTGCTGGAAATAATGAGCCTCCTTGGCCAAAAATGAAACCATCCGATGTCCAGAAATACGCAAAGGTATTTATTCAAGTTGATAGTGACAAGGATGGGAGAATCACTGGTGAGCAGGCAAGGAATCTGTTTTTTAGCTGGAGGCTACCCAGGGGTAAGGATCTTCGATCTTTCAGTTTACTTTACGTGAATAATTTATTCTAACATTTTCCTTTTGCTTGGTTCCAGAGGTATTGAAGCATGTGTGGGAGCTGTCTGATCAGGATAATGATATGATGCTTTCTCTGAGAGAGTTCTGCATTTCATTGTATTTGATGGAGCGGTATAAAGAAGGACGTCCCCTCCCACCAGCACTTCCTAGCAGCGTCATGTATGATCAAACATTATTATCTATCTCAGGTGCACCTAGTCATGGCTATGCAAATGCTGGATGGGGATCTGGTCAAGGTATTGCTCAGAATTCATGCATTTTAGTGATACTCCCCCTTTCCCTCTATAAGTCGAATTTCTCCGTTTCAAGGTTTTGTTCAGCAACCAGTGATGGGTGCGAGGCCAATCACTCCAGCGACTGGCATGAGACCACCAGTCTCTCACCCTGGCAGTGGTATAGCATCTAATCAGGAAAGGAATCAAGCGCCTGCTTTGGATGATCCGTTTGCTAGTCACCTAGGTAACGGACATTCTGCGAGCTCGAATCCTCAAGAAACAGCAACTGATGGGGAAAAGGTAATCATTTACATTTCCACTTTATTATAAAAAAAAACACTTACTCTCAAGCTTAGGCATGTTACAGTTCCTTCGCATTTTATGGGATGCTTGTAAACCAAAATTTTCTAATCTCTGTAGGTTGATGAAAAGAAGAATGTTTATATGGACTCCAGGGAGAAACTTGAATACTACCGGACGAAAATGCAGGATATTGTGAGTACTCCATTGTAATTTACTCTTGTTATTTGGTTATAAGTGACGGTGATTATCTGTCTCACGATGCGACTTTTTAGAATAAGGTTACTGTGATTAACAATCCTTATGATGCCATTTTTCTTGTATTTGTTTCCTCTGTCAGGTCTTGTACAAAAGCAGGTGTGACAATAGATTAAATGAGATCTCTGAAAGGGCTTCCTCTGACAAGCGTGAGGTGATATTCACATTTAAAAATCAGAGTACTCATTTGTCAGAGGCTATCTTTGTCTTATTACAGAACAATTTCTGCTGCAGGCTGAAACATTGGCAAAGAAATACGAGGAGAAGTATAAGCAGGTTGCAGAACTAGGGTCAAAATTGACTATTGAAGAGGCCAGGTTCCGCGAGATTGAGGTATGGCTAATTCCTTTGGCTGGCACATAAAGTGGCAACAACTAATGTACTTTTTTCATTTCTTCATCATTGGTCTTCCTTTTTTCTTTCTGTGGGTCTTGTTGTGCGTCTTTTCTTGCCCCTTATTTTATCGCCCAGTTCTCCCCTCTTCCACCTTTGCTGGTGAAAGGGCTTTGAATAATTTTGTAACAGATCTCTCGGGAGTTTTCTTTCTTACTCAAGTTTTGCTAACCCATTCCAGGGGCGGAAGATGGAGTTGAGCCAAGCAATTGTGAACATGGAGCAAGGGGGTAGTGCTGATGGTCTACTTCAGGTACATGCTCTCTATGTTTATGTAATGCCTAAACCATTGATTATCTCTTGAACATGCCTGATTTGATGTTTTACTGGATATTTAGGTCCGAGCTGACAGAATACAATCAGATCTAGAGGAGCTGATGAAGGCTTTAACTGAACGTTGCAAGAAACATGGGTTGGAGGTTAAGTCGAAGGCCCTTGTTGACCTTCCAGCTGGTACTACATATGATTCTGTCGCCTTTTGACTTCTTGCTTTCCCTGTATATGCATGCGAATTAGTATTTTGTAAGAAAACAAATCATTTGAAACTGTTATTGTTGTGACTTACAGGCTGGCAACCTGGAATTCAAGAAGGGGCAGCTCTGTGGGATGAAGAATGGGATAAGTTTGAAGATGAAGGTACAATGTTTTTTACTATCCTTCTATTACGTAAAACACATTTATATATATATATATATAGCTAAGCACATAACACCGACGTGGACTGATAATCCTCCCACTGTTAGGATTTGGCAATGAGATTACTTTTGATAAAACAAAAGAGCAAAACTCGTCTGGTGAAAAGGAAAACGGTACGGTGGATGATGGTAGTGGACCACATGATTCGCCGACTCATTTAGATGAGAATTATGGACCTTTTTCAGAACCTTCAGACCGCCACTATGAGAGTGAATATGGGACAACTCACAGTGAAGATGAATCAGGGAGAAGTCCCAGAGAAAGTCCGGTCTATAGAACTGCTACTGAGGTCCCATCTCCAAATTCTTCTCATGGAAAGGGTTCTGAATTCTTTGATGACTCGAATTGGGCAAGTGCATTTGACACTAACGATGATGTGGATTCAGTCTGGGGAGTCGATGCATCAAAAAGCCAGGTTAGTACACAATCCATAGCGTCTCTCCCTTCAACAAATCACACTATCCATCTAAGTACTTAATTTTTCATTGACACTTGAATATCTCAAAAACCTTTCTCTCTAGATTATGTTCATACTTTAGATTTAGGATTGCTACATTTGCCTTTTGGATGCTAAACTGCTTAGTTACCTTTCCACAGGCTTCCAAGCTTACCATATAATAATGACATGTGCAGGATGGAGACTATTTTGGATCTGATGGAGATTTTGGTGAAAACTTAGGAAGAGCAGATTCTCCAACCTCAAGAAGCTTTGGCGGTCATAGAAAGAGTGCTTTTGATGATTCAGTTCCCAGCACTCCACTCTCGAGATTCGGGAACTCTCCTCCTAGGTTCAGTGACGCATCAACCAGAGATAACAACTTTGATAGCTTCTCAAGATTCGACTCCTTCAACCATAGTGAAGCTGGGGCAGGTTTCTCCTCCTCCCAGCCCGAGAGACTGTCACGGTTTGATTCCATCAACAGCTCTAAAGACTTTGGTGGAGCTGCCTTCTCCAGGTTCGACTCAATCAACAGTAGCAGAGACTTTGGTGGTCCCTCGCTTTCAAGATTCGACTCAATGAATAGTACAAAGGATTTCAGTGGGAGCCATAGATACTCGTTTGATGATGCAGACCCGTTTGGTTCTACAGGTCCCTTCAAAGTTTCCTCTGATGATCGAAGCCCCAAGAAAAAGTATTCCTTCTAGCTCAAGTACCGCAACTGATTATAAATTCTTTTTTTTTTTAAATATATTTTTTCCATAAATTCTTGATTGATGAACTTATGGTTGTTCCATAAAAATCTTGTAAAGTTTTCCTCCAGATATTTTTGGTTGAGGCAATAGCTTTAGAAGACTTTTTTACTGTTATCACTGTTCTGTTCTTATGAATTCATTTGCTTTATATCAAAAAAAAACTATTTGTTGGGATTCTCTGACTCCATATTTCTCAAGTTTCGGCTCCAAAATGTTGTATATTATTTGATATTTTTCTTTAGCTCAATGTCTGTAAACAATTCTGATCACAAAATAGATACTGTGTGTATAAACAGAATGTGGTGGTTACAAACTAAAAAATTGAGCTAACGCATTGGCTTATTCTGTCTTTACTTCTTTGTGATCCGCTCAAAGGCAGTTAGCATGGATGATCTTGTGTTGGCTATTTCCACAAGAGTTTCAAGAGCTGTCGCAAGGCAAAAAACAAATGATTATAATTTCAGTTGAAACCTGGAATATTTTGTGGGAGTATAGTTGTGGTGATGAATGTTACCAGTCTCAAATGATAGTTGAGCGCCACGCAGCTTAGGCGAGACTAGACCTCCGAATACAGATAGAGACTTGGCTCGTTCTTTCTTAATCTAGAGATTAATTAAGACACATCCGAATTAGTAAAACCCCACATGTTGTAACTTTCTAAGATTAAAAGATTGCTCACCTCTTCATCAGCTGCTAACACGGTCTCACCCATGGCTGATGGTTTCTCTTCTAACGAATCACATAAGCAAGAGATAAGACACAGACACACAAAGGGCAGGGAATAACCAACATATAATCTTATTTCTTTTACCAGAAACGCCTCGATGCCGTAGCTGTGGGCTACGAGGAGAGCCCATCTCCGAGACTGCATCAGTAGAGAAGTCTTTGCCTTTGCCACTACCGCCCTTAGAAGCCCACTTGGACAAAGCAAAACGAGGTACTGATCCCAAAGATTCAACTACAAGAGTTCCGTAGGCTTGTGAATATAAACTCATTACCATATAAATGTGAAACAATGAACTATCAGAGAATACTTTTGTGAATTTTATCCGAAAAGCCAAACTTTACCCTCTTGGTCAGTCACTTGCAATGTGGAAGAAGCGGAATGATCCTTGAGGTCTAAGAGAGTGCTGCTGATACGTAAAGTTCCCATAGAGTGTCGAGCACTAGCTAGATCAAACCACCCCTGCCAAAAAAAAAATACATTTTCAACAAGTTTATTAAGAAAGAGTCTCTAATCATAACAGTGACAGTAGATACATTCTGAAGTTATTTCCCATGGCTTCCTAAGCTATCTAATCAACCAAAACGTGAAAGAGCACAAGAATCTGACAAGTGTATAGCCAACTCATACAAAAATATAATCTTTTTGAAATGATATAGAGAAAACGTAGCCTAACTATCATCTTGTTTAGAGAGTAGACAATCATCTAATTCTAAAAGTCATGATCTATGCTAAAGTTCGAGTTTTTAACGATCAGAAAAATATAAAAGACATTCCGTTTTACCTCTCTTAGCTTTGAATTGAGAGAATCCATAAGCGTTAAATACTCATCCAACGAATCTAGAAACTGCAACACCTTCTCATCTCCTCCCTCTGTTTTCGCTTCTGCTTCGTTTTTCACTTCCATGGATTCCTCTCCTTCTTCGTAAATCTCAATCTCTTCATCTCCCGCCATCGTGATTTAGCTTCCAACACACACACGACACGAATGATCCAAATCAAAGCTTACACCAGACCAGAACGTGGTCCAAACGATCCCAGAGAGACAAAGAACCACTCTCGAGGCTATTCTCGTAATATTTTGATTATATAAAGCCCAATAAGGCCCGTTAGATCATCTTATTAAGCCCATTAATTTGGTTATGCGTCTGGTCCGTTTAGTGTGTACACACGCCCAGGCTGTTCGTCAATTTGGTGTGTGTGTGGTGTGGTGTGGTAGCTCCACGCCTATCTCTATCTCTCTCATAATACACTTTTTGATTTAAGTCAGCGTCTCGTGCCTATCTTATTCATATTTTTTTCCAAGTTTTTTTTATATATATTAAAGTTAATTTCATTTTCCTTCAAACCAATCTCTTGTCTGTTCACTCCCTTATCTTTGCCTGTCTCTCTCGCTCTGAGTCATTCCTGGTTGGTATGCTTCTTACTCTTGTGGTGTTTTTCTAATGATTTCTTGAAATGTTTGCTCCCTGTTTTTTGTCAGTGGCTCCATGAATAGTTACTAAATTTAGTAACCTTGCTATTTTAGGTTTTGTGGAAATGGATGATGTTGGAAAAGACTCTTACTTAACGTACTTTAGGATATAGTTTCGAATTGAAGTACTGAGTTTTGTTTCCTTTGTTGTGAAAGAACCAAACTGTATGAATGAACTTTAGCTAAATCTGGTATTAATTATATCCTTTTATGTTTCTAAATAATGTCTGCTTCTTACTAGCTGCTTTTCATGATCCTCTGCTTGAGCAACGGTTTTCAATAATCATTATATGTTTGCAGTGAGTGTTAAGATGGTTAGAAGCTATGATGGAAGCGAGTCAGATGACGACAGCTCTCATTTCGAGCGAGGTGTAGACCATATCTACGAAGCATTCATCTGTCCCTTGACAAAGGAAGTCATGCACGACCCCGTAACCTTAGAGAACGGACGAACATTTGAGCGTGAAGCTATTGAGAAATATTTCAAGGAGTGTCAGGAAAGTGGTAAACCTCCGTCTTGCCCTTTAACTTCTCAGGAGCTGAGTAGCGCCGACGTGAGTCCCAGCATTGCTCTGCGTAACACTATAGAAGAGTGGAGTTCAAGGAACGACGCTGTGAAGCTCGACGTCGCTCGCCACGCGCTGTTTCTAGGAAATGCCGAGAGTGATATTTTGCAAGGTTTGATGAATGTGAGACAAATTTGTAGAAGCATACGATCGAATAGGAAAAGTGTGCGTAACTCTCAGCTTATACGTATGATCATCGACGTCCTGAAAAGTAATAGTCATAAAGTTAGGTATAAGGCTTTACAAACACTTCAAGTTGTTGTTGAAGGAGATGAGGAGAGCAAGGCGATACTAGCTGAAGGGGATACTGTGCGTACACTTGTTAAGTTCTTGTCACAAGAGCCATCAAAGGGGAGGGAGGCAGCTGTTTCGTTGGTTTTTGAGCTCTCAAAATCTGAAGCTTTGTGCGAGAAGATTGGTTCGGTTAATGGAGCGCTTATCTTGTTGGTTGGTTTGACAAGCAGCAACTCGGTGAACGTGTCGATTGTTGAGAAAGCTGATAGAACATTGGAGAACATGGAGAGGTCTGAGGAAGTTGTTAGGCAGATGGCTTCTTATGGTAGACTCCAGCCTCTTCTAGGCAAAATCCTTGAAGGTGATTTGATCAGTCTCTTCTAGGCCTGCAGGCTCGGGTAGTTCGGTTTTTGGTTAGTTCGGTTCAACATAAATCTTACCAAATGAACCTGAAATAAAATCTGGTTCAGTTTTTGAAATTTTTAGTGAAGTTTTTGATTTCGGTAATATTTTGGTTTATTTTTGTTAAAACTTCGGATAAGTTGGGATAATTCGGCTAAATTCGTTAATTCGGTTCGGATTTTTGGTATTGTTTAGTTATAGTTTTTAGTATTTTTGAAGAAAACCGAAATAACTGATTGACAGAATCAAAAACCAAAACTTAGAAGAAAAAAAAATACTGAATCAAATTGAACTCCTAACCGAAAATTTTGGTTCAGCGGGTTCGGTTCGGTTCAAAATCCCAGCCTGTGTTTATCTACTAGCTGATAGAACTGCTTGGTTCTGATCTAACAACATCCTTTCTGCTTTGTGCAGGTTCACCTGAAACAAAACTCTCCATGGCCACTTTTCTTGGGGAGCTTTCCTTAAACAATGATACAAAGGTTCTTGTGGCTCAGAGAGTTGGTTCTTCTCTAGTTGATCTTATGAGAAGTGGTGACATGCCTCAACGAGAAGCTGCCCTGAGAGCTCTCAACAACATCTCATCTTACGAAGGGAGTGCCAAAGTTCTGATCACCATAGGGATACTCCCTCCACTTATCAAAGACCTCTTCTACGTAGGACCAAACAACCTCCCCATCCGGTTAAAAGAAGTCTCAACCACTATTCTCTCTAACATAGTCAACATAGGATACGACTTTGACAAAGCCACTCTTGTTTCAGACAACAGAGTTGAGAATCTCTTGTATTTGATCAGCAACACTGGTCCAGCTATCCAATGCAAGCTCTTGGAGGTTCTTGTCGGACTCACCACGTGTCAAAAAACAGTCACACATGTTGTCTCTGCTATTAAAACCTCTGGAGCAATTATCAGTTTGGTTCAGTTTGTTGAGGTTAAAGAGAACAATGATTTGCGTTTGGCTTGCGTAAAGCTTCTTCATAATCTCTCACCATTCATGAGTGAGGAGCTAGCCGACGCGTTACGTGGCACTTCTGGACAGCTGGATAGTCTTGTTGCAATCATTTCAGAGAAGATACCAATCTCTGAAGAGCAGGCTGCAGCCGCTGGACTATTAGCTGAATTGCCAGAGAGGGACTTGGCTCTGACTCGTGAGATGTTAAGCATCGGTGCTTTTGAGAAAATCATCACCAAAGTGATGGGAATACGCCAAGGGGAGATCAAAGGGATGAGGTTTGAGAGAAACTTTCTAGAAGGTCTTGTGCGTATACTCTCTAGGGTTACTTTTGCATTCAATGAAGAGACTCGAGCTATTACGTTTTGCCGTGAGTACAACGTTACTTCTCTATTCATTAATCTGCTTCAATCCAACGGTCAAGACACTATTCAGATGTTTTCCGCTATGGCTTTAGAGAATCTTTCACTAGAGTCTGTTAACTTATCACACATGCCTGACCTGCCTCCTCCAAGCTGTGGCTCAATCTTTTCATGTATGAGCAGACCACCCGTTGTCACTGGTCTTTGCAAGATCCATCACGGAGTATGTTCTTTAAGAGAAACGTTTTGTCTCGTGGAAGGAGAAGCTGTGGAGAAACTAGTGGCTTTGCTAGACCATGAGAATGATAAAGTGGTCGAGGCCTCACTTGCAGCTCTCTCGAGCTTGTTACAAGATAGTTTAGATGTGGAGAAAGGGGTGAAGATACTCGATGAAGCTGACGGGATAAGGCATGTGCTGAACGTTCTGACGGAGAACAGAACAGAGAAGGTGACGAGGAGAGCGGTTTGGTTGGTGGAAAGGATCTTGAGGATTGAAGACATAGCGAGAGAGGTCGCTGAACAACCTAACGTGAGCGCTTCGCTTGTGGACGCTTTTCAAAACGGTGATTTTAGGACGCGGCAAATCGCTGAGAACGCGTTGAAACATTTAGACAAGATCCCGAACTTCTCAGGTATATTCCCAAACATGGCATAGGCTGGTGGTGTGGTGGGAGACATCTTTGAAACTTTATGTGGTCTTTGAGGGTATATTGTTATAAATTTTGATTCTTGTGTTGCGTGTGCTGTAAGTTATTTGATTTGTTTGTTTATATTGCACGCTTGAAATTGGTGAACCACTAATTAGGTAGGTTAAGGTAAGGTAAGGGTTACTAAATCTCTTATATTACAATGGCTGGAGCAAAAGTGCTGACCCAAGTAGCGGACTAGATTAACGTAGAGACGTAGACAAGGGTCACTAATCATGGGCTATTAGTTACTCATATAGAATAATTATGTTTATGGAAAAACAAACCTATTTTTCCATCAAAAATATTGTATACCAATAATTACCTTCGGCTTTCAACTTCTTCTTAATTCCACGTCTACTGTTACTTTTCTATAAAGAAAAACTGGAATCTGAACTCATATAATGTTATAGGTGGTAAGTAAAATAGACATAAAACCAATTTAGATCAGTTTGCTTACTGTAAAACATATGCCATTGTTAATCTTGTTAAATTAAAAGTGAGCTGATTAGAAAGGATAAACAAAGATAACCCAACCTTAATAAACCAAAAACTGTTTCTCATTTCCACTCTCCATTTTTTCAACCTCTTTGATAGTACTCAGTGAAGAGACCTATGAAGATTTATAATAATTGTTTATAGGGTTCATCCGAATGAAATTGATTTGAGATTTTTGGATACGAAGTTGTGTCGGATTTTTAGTCAATCTTAAGTTTGGCCGGGGTTTTTATTTGATCAATGATATAAGTGACTTACCAGAGTAATAGGTCTGAACATTTCCGATATGTGGACAAGGTTGAAAGTTATAGAAGTCATATTTCCTATGTTTATTTCTTACAATGCTTTAATACATCTTCACTAGTTAGTTTTAACTTTTAAGTGACCAGATGATTATAATCTTCAAAGTATTAGGATCAAAACCATGAATCAAACATTTGAATAATCATGAGCTGTTAGTTACTATTATGTTTTTTGGGTTTCATAAATTAATTATTGTGTTTGGGGCTCATATAATCAATAATAACGGGTATAGGAATACAAATCTACTAGGATAAGATCAGCGCCTTGCACGGGATGAAACTATTAATTGTATAGCAAAAATTACATTCGGCTTTCAACTTCGTTTTAATTCCACATTTCCACGTCTGAAAAGTTATCAAACCACTGTTAGTTTCTATTCAGCAAACCTGGAATCTGAACCATATAATGTTATAGGTGGAAAGTAAAATGGACACAAAACCAATTTAGATCAGTTTACTTACTGTGAAACATAACCAATAGTTAACCTTGTTAAATTAAAAATGGCCCGATTTGAAAGGATAAACAACGATAACCCAACCTTAATAAACCAAAAACTGTTTCTCATCTCCACTCTTCCTTTTCTCATCCTCTTTGATAGTACTTAGTGAAGAAACCCATGAAGATTTAGAACTATTGTTTATAGGGTTCATCTGAATGAAATTGATTTGGGATATTTGGATACGAAAGTTGGGTCGTGTTTTTAGTTGAATCTCAAGTTGGGCCGATTTTTAGTTTGGTTATTATATAAGTGGTTTATTAAAGTAATAAATCTGAAAGAAGTGGACGAGGTTGAAAGTTATGGATACGATATTTGTGGTGGATAAATAAGTCATATTTCCTATGTTTATTTCTTAACAATGTTTTAATACATCTTCACTAGCTAGTTTTAAATTTTATGTGACCACATGATTAAAATCTTCAAGATATTAGGATCAAAACTATTAATCAAACATTTGAATAATGAGATCAATCAAATTCTTATTTTATAATTTTTTGTTTTACAAAAAAAAAAAGGTTAAATCGTCACGTTTGAAGGGTGTGAAATTGAAGATCTGAATATGATAAACGCAAACTTCATTCAATGTAACCAGTTATGAGATTACATAGCTTAAAAGAAAATGAAAAAGTACTGGAAACAAATTGCAGAAATTTGAAACATAAAACAGAAAAGAAACAGCCGCCCTCCCTCTTCACTTGTCTAAATCAACGGATTTAGGTTCTGAAATGACCATGAATCAGCTCCATAATGACCTCTATAGAGACTTCACGTTCGGATCTAAAACTGTTATTCTGATTTTGTAGTCCGATTACAGGGTACCACGACGGCTTGAATTGATAAAGATCACGACCTGCATCACACCACCCTGGAAGCAAACCCATGACTTCCCACATGTTCGCCTTCAAGTCATAGCCATAAATTACATCTTCTATTTCATCCTTCGCCCTCACCAATACATGCCTACCATCAAAAGCCTCCACATACCAGCACGACAGCATTATCTCGTGCACCGGCTCGTTCTTAATCTGTCTCGTGAGGATCCATTTAGGATCAGTGAAGATATTCTCGAGGGAATAAACGTAAATCATTTCCTCCGTTGCCGATATCAACGTCAGATGGTTATCGTCAGCACCAAGCAAGAGTTTCGCACCCGCTTGGTGATTGAGTTTGGTCGGAATCAGACGTGCTTTCTCTGTTTTGGGATTGAAAGTTATAATGTTTCCGTCGCTTCTCAACCAGTAGAGACCTTCTTGGAAGTAAACCGGTTTCATATCCCTCATGAGATCGCTTGAGATACAAGTAATCTTGGTTTTTGATATTTTCCATGAATTCCCTGCGTTAATATGGAATCCATACATGGTTTCACTTGGGTTCGAAGCAGCGGCCTCGGTTATGCAGACGATTTTGAACCTCTGAGTGCTTTCATCGATTTTATCAACAGCAAACCCGATGCTCTTCTTGGTTTGCAGCATGGGGTAATCAAGGAACCGGAACTTCTTTGTGACGGGATTGGCGACGCAAAAACATCCATGAACGAAGATTAGGATAAGGCCGGAGCAGTAGCCAAGGATGAAGCATATGTTCTTTGAGGGACCTTTGCTATGGAATGGCCTAACATCACCAACAGGGTGGAAACATGTTAGGTTGGAGCCATGTACCCCGATGTGAAGCAAACTGGATCCGGGCTGAGACCAGTAAAGGGATTTGAAACTCAGATCTTTGGATATAGATTCCATAGATTTAGTCGTGCATCGCATCATCACAAAAGATTTGGGATCTACCCTTAAGAAATCTCCTTTTGGAGATCCTGAGGTAAGGTATTCATGACTGGAGAAATATATTTTATGCTTAGTTTTTTTAGATGATTTTCTTTTGTTTTTGCTTCAGCTATGTAGTTAGTGTTTGTATATATAATTTTTAAAGAAAATCTTTTCTAGAAATAAATCCGTAAAATACACCTAAATTAGTAAAATCTTAATAATCCCAAAATCATAATAAGTCATTTCGTTGACTACCTAATCAGTATATTTAACGGCCGTTTATACAAACGGTGGTTAAAACATCGTCGTATGAAAGAATTTTGATCACTTAAGAATTCTTAATTCTTCTTTAGTTTTTTTTCTTTCAGTTCAAATGAATGTTTATATGGAAACACATAGTCAGTAGTAGCAAAGAGTAAGCATGCTGAAATGAAATCAGAATTTAAAACGTAAAATCGATTTTCGGTGTTGTTTTGAGTATTGTTACAATTGATGGTCGTTAAATGACATTTAATATTAACCAAAATAAAATCTAATTTATGGTCAACATAAGATTGCATATTTTTATTACCAAAAATATAAGTTTTGGTAGAAATGCAATAATAGTTCACTAGTGTTTCGAGAAAAAAAAACAATGTTGTAACTGACTGTCATTTCAATACTATTTGACAAGATAATTAGTTGTGTCTTCTTTAATTTTCCAGGTATTCACATTGTTATTGGTGATAAATTAGATATATATTTGAACTAAAATACATTTTGACTAAATGAAAATGACATTTTTTTTATCAAATTTTGCTAAAAGTTTCCAAAATGTTTTTTTCTTTTTGGTCATAGATAGTTTTTATTTTTCTCTTTTGTTTTGTTGCTTACAAAGATAATTACTGTAAGATTTTAATTGTTGTTACATTGAAATTAAGATAATAATGAGATTTTTAATTTTGAGCTAGCGGTTTAGTAGCTTATAAATCCAAACTATGTCCATTGTCCAACACCATAATTTCGTGAGCCATTTGATTAAAACAAAAACAGTTTAAAACGCCAGAAGGAAACATAAAACACAGGTTAAATTCATTAAGCAAATTAGAACCATGTCATCCTCAAATGTCTGGTACTCCCGGTCCTATTTACTTAGCTGTCAAAAATATAAAAATTATTTTATGCTTATAAACCACTAAAATTTTATGTTATTAAAATTGTTGTGACCTTAATACCCTTGGACTTCCTCATGACTCATACAACTTTGTCTACTCAAATTTTATGTTATTAAACTATATGTGTTACCATTATAACTTGCAAATGGTACCATGACTTCACATTTTAGGTTCAAGTCCTACGAACAAACTAAATATTTATTAGTCTACTCCAACATTAAACACTTAGCCTTCATAAGCCACAATGTTCCAAGAAATCGGTCTATTTTTCTACTTCACTATGACCCGCTTGGGATCTGCGAGTATTTTATCGAGTGCACAAACACTATTTCGGTGGCCAAAAATGTTTTCACACTCCATTCGTGGGGAATTTGATCAGAATCAGCCATGCTTGCTCTATATTGTGATTGAAAACTATGAAGTCTACGTTGCTTCCCATGTTTATCAACAAATGGATATTTAATTATATAAAGTTAAGTTTTCTTCTACATGGTGCTATCATGTCACTAAATAAAATATGGAGAAAGTGACGCATGGCATGTAAAATTGTTCTTACACAAAAAAATAATTTTTAATATTATCAAAAGTTTATTTTATGTAAATGCATTTATCAATTCTTTTTAGGAAGTATGAATATTTTCATTTTGAGACAAAAAAATACATTAAAAAATCATAGTATCCATGAATTCAAAAAAAATGTATAAGTCTAAAAATAATCCATAATTTATATTTTTAGATATTTTACTTTATCAACATAGAAAAATGTTAGAAATTACTTATTTAATAAAATAAAAAAATACAAATAGTAGAATTTAATGTTATGAATAAAATAACAAAAATAAGGAGAAAGTGACACATGGCATGCAAAATTATTCTTACACAAAAAATAATGTTTAATATTAACAAAGACTTACTTTTTGTGAATGCATTTATCAATTCTTTTTAAGAAGTATGAATCTTTTCATTTTGAGATAAAAAATACATTAAAAATAATAATATCCATGAATTCAAAAAAAAATGTATAAGTCTGAAAATAATCCATAATTTATATTCATAGATATTTTACTTTATTAACATTGACAAATATTAGAAATTACTTATTTAATATATTCTTATTCAAAATAAATTAAGAAAATACAGATACTCACTAAATTTGAATATATATATATATATATATATATATATATATACATTTTTTATGTGTGTGTATGGCTAGATTTTTAATAGTAGCACATTAGGAATTAATATGCATTAGATATAAAAGAAAAAAATAAAAAATACAAACTAAATCAAAAGAAATATACACATCAAACAAATATAAAGAATCTCACATAAATTGGCTGAAAATAATCCATACTTTATATTCTTAGATATTTTATTTTATCAACATTGACAAATGTTAGAAATTACTTATATAATAAAATAAAAAATAAATAGTGAAATTTAATGTTATTATTATTTTTAATAAATTAAAAAAAATCAGATAATCACTAAATTTGAATATATATATATATATATATATATATATATATATATATATTTATGTGTGTATCACTAAATTTTTAATTGTAGCAAATTAGGAATTAATATGCATTAAATATACATGAAAAAATCAGAATAAAAACTAAATCAAAAGGAATAAACACATCAAACAAATACAAAGATTCCCACATAATTATATTGTATGTTGTTGTTAAAAATGATATTGTATACACACTAAACTTATATAAATTACTCGTAATAAAAAATAGTCGAACACATAAAAATAACTATGTGCTTTTATGAAAAAAATACATAAAATATTATAATACTAAAAATAATATAATATTGCAAAATATGTTTGGCAGTGGATAAAAATAAAAATGTCAAAAATATAAACGGACATCAAATTTTGATAGAGATGGTGAAATGTTTAGGTGAACATGTCATTCATTTTATTATAGATAAAGTAAACACTAAATAACAAATCAGTTATCTTGAAACGAATACACACAAGATGAAGACAAAATAAATCTAAGTATCAGGCGTATAATCTGACAAAATAATATGTCATAGCTTAACACCATCCCACTTTAGAATCTTTCACCTCATAACAACACTTTAGTGGCCGCTAAGATCTCATAGTTTTTCCCGATCAAATCAAATCAGAAAAAATAAAATGGAAAAGAAAAGGAAAATGAGAAAATATTGTTACGGTCACTATATCTAGCACGACGATGAATATGCGTTTCTCTTTTGAAACATTAATTAAAAAAAAAAGTAAATGTGAGTAAATATCTTTCCACTTTATTGATAGTTTTAAAGAATAAATTGGAGAAAAAATTGCACATAATACCATATGCTCGAGAATAGAACTTTCAAAAATACACAACTATATCACACTGATCTGTATAACATGTAGCAAACAAACATGAAGTTAATCCTAAATACAGCCACCGAAACTTTCAAACAATTTTAATAACTTCTAAATCATTATAATTAATATTTTTATTTTTAATGAAAGCAAAAAAATTGACATTAATCTTTTTGTTAAAAAAATTATCATTTAGTGAAAATATATAATATAATTAAAACAAATAAATTTATAATTATAAGAAATAAAATTATTATAATTAAAAAAATAACCACTTAGTGAAAATATATAATATAATTAAAAAGAATTAAATTTATAATGATAATAAATAAAATTCATGAGAAAGAGGATAAATAAACTTACGCTATTAATCTTTATACATTTCATTAGATTTTACCAACAAAAATAAAAATAGTGAATCACACAGATTTTTGGTTTCCTTTTTACTACCAAATTTAAGGTTAACGTAGAATACAATATGATATAAAAATAATTAACAATTAATACATAATGAAAATAATTTAAAACCAAGAATTAATAAGATATAAAAGTAGACTAATTAAAATTTAATTATGCTATGTAATATAACTTGAGTTTAATGAAAATTTTTTTTTGTGTTTAATGAAAAGTTTAATAAAGATTTAATATTTAAGTAAACGTTACATGATACTTAAATATATTCAAAATAAATAAATAAGTCTATAAGTTTGGAAAGACGAAAAATCCTTTATCATATTGTTTTCTTTTACGTTTCACAAACCTAAGGAAAAAAATATTCACACACTAAATTTTCTTAACATTTTAGGTAAATAAGATCAAATTTAGAATAATTATAAAAAAAAAGATTCAAATAGTAAACAATGAGTTATAAATAATCAAATAATATTTTACAAAAAAAAATTGAAAATAAAATAATAACACACAACAAATAAAGAAACAAAAGTCGAGACGAGCCACGATACACAATAACTCTACGCAAAACACATACTGATAATTTATGACATTAAATTTGGATATTAAATTTTGTTCTAGTTGTTTTTTGTGGGTCAACTTTTAATAGTTGATATGAATATATGGGGATCTCGAGTTTCGTTTTCGTGACAGCTCTCTGTCTCTCTGTTTCTTCATCAATGGCTGCCATTAGTAGCTTACACATATGTGCAGCTGATCATCAATCTCCGAGACAGATCAACCTCGACCCACAAATCAAAACTTGACATTCTCGGCTCTTATTTCCAGAAGAGACGCTAATCTTATTCTTCATAAACAACCACAACGACCAAGAATCGAAAACTATAGTTTTCAATGTCAACTGACGATGAATAAACATAGACTAAAAGTCACACTCTATACACTAAGTATGGTCTATTAACTTGTTGATAGTTGATACCCTATAGTTGTTTAACATATGTTCAATTTTATTAACAGAAATAAATTTTGACCTTTTTATGGTGAAAACTCGAGGCCTTTTTGAAAAGTAAGACAAAGAATATATTAGATTGGTCTTTAGACAGCGTGGGAGATTGCCAGAGTCATTGTCTTTTTTTTTTGTAACATCCCAGAGTCCTTGTCATAAACTGAAGATGTGGCAGATAGCAATATCGATCCCACAGTTTATTGAATTTGGTCAATTTCAATGCATTTTCTTTGATGTTGCACTATTTTTAAACTCGCAATTGATTAATTATATATTAGTAGTGGGAGATGATTATAGACTTACAAATAATTATTTAATATATGGTCTGAAAAAGAGTTTGTATAATGACATGTTTAGATGATCTTACTATTAATTTTCCAAAATATTAAGTTTATACGAAAAATTAGAACATCTGTGGAGAAAGAAGTGGACGGTGATAAAACATGAAGTGGAGAGTGCAATAGAATAGAAAGAGTCAACCAGAGAATTAATAACATTTTATTTAATTGATTTACTATATTTAGAAACTCATATACTCGTACTTTTCCTCCTCACATACCTCTCTGGGAATGCATTATCTAATGTGTGTGTGTGTTTTTTGTTCTCTAATGTGTTATAGGAAAGTTTATATAAAATGTGTTAATTAATCTGTATAAACTATACATTAGAGTTAATCACTTAACCATTAGCAACACTCTTGTTATCTGATAGCTATTACTATTAGTAAGGTCCATATGTATGTTGCATGCTTCCATTTTGAGGTGTTTCCATTATTTCTCTTGTACAACCAAAATTTTAGTAAGCAACAAAAAATAATTATATGCATACGAACATTTGACAAGTGTCTATCCCTTTTCTTCACAAAATCGCTGACTGTTACACCTTCTATTTTGAAGTTAATTATGCATCGTCATAAGGCGACTAATTAATCATCATCAATGAGACAAAGTTTTAAAAGACCATGCATTGACAAGAGTAACACGAGAATGACCATATATTCTCGGCCGATTCTGCCATTCTGCACATATTTTTTGTTATTATAATATTAGTTCATAATATGTGTAGAACATATATATATAATCCAGCTCAAATCTTACAAAACTTTATTCAAAAATAAATAAATTACAAAACTTGGAATAAATACTGCATATTCAGATTTACCGAAATGGATAATATATATTCTAATTGAGACCGACTACTCTGATTTAGTGAATATGATAGAAAATTTGGTGGATTAGCTTAGCCTTCGCCATAGAGTACTAAAAGTATATATTATACTTGTATCACATGTGTATTAAAAACTACACAAACTCGAATACTACGTCATGCATTACATGATGTTTAGAAAATTCCACTATTTTGTTTCTATTTTCATAAGTATCACAATATTTCAAGAAATTAAGATGGTATCATCTTTTTATGTACATCCCTTTTTAACTATCTCATATCACTTCTAAGTGTATAGTTTCTTGTGTCACTTACGGATTGCGCAATCTTAACTTTCTTAAGTAAGTTGACATGTGTCTAGTTAGTGTGTAGGTGGCATCATTCTGAGGGCGGAATGTGTTTGGCGCCCTACAAAGTAATGTTTCCTCGAACACTCTTCAAACTTAATATCTCATTCGGGTAATCATCAGCTATATAACAGGTAAGATAGTAGGTACGTTAACAAATCTCGTGGGATACTTATATTACACTAAAGTAGTTTAACTACATTGAAAGTTGTCTTTATTAAAGAGATTAAGATATTTCATTAACAAAATATCTATACTTTTGTATATCAATCATCTAGCATTAACGATAAAGAATCATACTATTTCGCCACGTACAAAAGGACAGTCGTCGTTAAGTTCTCTACTACCGAAATCATAATTGGGTAGATACTTAAACTATCCAGTAACTGGTTTGCCTAACTAAAGTCCTTATTAAGAAAATGATTAACTTATAGACCAGTACACATTAAAAAAGTTTCTTGAGTGCATATTGTCGGATCTTACTATGGACGGTTCGCGTTACTTCAGCATCTATTAACATATTGCAATGCCCTTTCATTACCAAATACCAATGACATCTTTGGTTTGATCTTCACAAAGACTCAGCCTTCTTTTCGGACATGATTGAACTTTGAATTTTTTTTCTTTTTCATAGTAGTTTCATTTTACAACCATCCATCGACATTTATATGAATTTTCGGCCAAGAGAACAATACCCTTGCAGTTTCTATGGACCCTGTGAAAAAAATATATATCCAAATTCGGTCGTAATAAATATAAAAATGAGGTGTTTCATATATTATAACGATATTAGCTTAATAACTCTAAGCTTAATTTAACTAAGAAAGCAACGAACAAAACAAAATACAATATACTTACTTTCAATTTAAACAAACGCGATAATTAACAATTACCTTGTCACGTTTTTATGTGACTAGTGATTGTGTTTACGAGTAAAAGGCAGGCAATTATAGAGAATTGACTAAAGAATCTTCGTACGTTATTGTTTCAGTGGTCCTTGAACCTAACTTTTTACAATAAACATGGTCACACACTCACACCACATGGATACGGTATCTAGTACAAAGTAAAACCGTACAACATTTTTCTTAGACCCTCGAAAACATTTATTGAAGGCTATAATACTAATTATGTCAAATATTTCATTTTCTGCTCTACGAAAGATTATAATATGTATTTATTTAAAATGAACATTCACGACCAAATTCACCAGTCAAATTAATGGATTTGGGTTTAATAAATTAATTATGAACAATCTTTATATTATAATCTGGGCATAACTTATTATTATTATTTTTTTTGGCGACATCCCATTTGCCCTAAGATCAAGTGGTGACTAGTTGAGTCGATTCTCCTTAGAGAAATTCCGTCTGGCCGGGTCTGATCTATATGGGAGAATAAAAAGTCTCTATTCCTCGCTTCTTTCGCCAATGCGTCCGCTCGTATATTTCTATCCTGTGGAATATGAAACAGACTCACATCCAAGAAATCTTCTCGTAGTCGCTGAAGCATCTCGATAACTTATTGATTTATCAGTACGTATAAGTAAGATTATGAAAAAAAAAACTAAATAATGTCCAAAAAACAAATAATAGTACTATTTTCATTAAACTCCGACAGAAAGCAACAAGTGTAAACTATACACGAATAATTATTTGTAAATAAAAAAAAGGCTCACTGTATTATAAATGACTGAAATAACCTCAGCCGATCACTCTATAAATCTCTGGCCCTCTTGGCCTTTCCCAAAACCTCTCACACTCGAATCAAATCCTTCTTTTTTTTCAAAATTCTCACACACAAAAAAATAAACAAAAACAAAAATGGCGCGCCTTCTCTTCCGTCTTCTCGGAGAATCCAACACTCCGTCGCCGGTGACAGATACCTCCACCGCCGCTTTGAACTCCAACCTCGTCATCATCCTCGCCACTCTCCTCTGCGCCATGGTCTGCGTTCTCGGTCTAATCGCCGTTTCTCGATGCGTCTGGCTCCGTCGTCTCGCCGCCGGTAACCGAATCTCCTCCGGCGGTTCCGGTCAATCTCCACCGCCCCAGGTAGCAGCGGCGAACAAAGGCTTGAAGAAGAAAGTGCTCCAGTCTCTCCCGAAGGTGACTTTCTCGCCGGAATCGCCTTCGTCGGAGAATTTCGCCGAGTGTGCGATTTGCCTGACGGAGTTCTCCGCCGGAGACGAGCTTCGGGTTTTGCCGCAGTGTGGTCACGGTTTCCACTTGTCTTGCATTGACACGTGGCTTGGTTCTCACTCGTCTTGTCCTTCTTGCCGTAGGATCTTGGTGGTTTCTAGGTGTCATAAGTGTGGCGGTTTACCCGGTAGCTCTAGTTCAGGACCCGAAATCGAGATCCGAATCAAGCAAGGCGAAGATGATCCTAACTCCTCCTTGCCTTGAGTTTTTTTTTTAGTTTCTTTGTGTTTTAGATATATAACTCCATAAGTTTAAGCAGATCATTTTTAGTGGATACTGTTTACTCCCTTAATGTATATGTTATTGTAATTTGTAAATGTTGTTTGAATTCAAAGTTTTACAATTTGCGGTTTTAAACATTTTTATTTAAAGTTGATAATGGTTCTCTAGTTCCAATCTACATGCATGTGTAATAGCGACTATTAGTATTTGGCAACAATACAAAAAAAAATAGAGATATATACTTTGTCATTAGTTATTAAAAACTTCTCAAAAATCAAAATTATATGTCAAAATCAATGTGTTTCCTCTGAAAATAACCCATCTATGATCTATCGTTTCTTGCTAACTATGGGAATATACCCTAATAAATGGGGAAGAAAATTTGCCACTGTGATACAAAATGGTATTGTATAATGTATAATGTATTGGCTAAGTTGTACCTATCCATGTTATTATATTTATAAAGCATAAATCAAATAGTCATCCCATTTCTTCAACTTTCCAGGATTTAGGGGTTGCCTTCTAGAATTTCGGAACACGAGCCTGTGATCCACTAAACCAGATGAATTTTTATAAATTTCGTAATACTGTAGTGAATTTGGAAAAAGAAAAACGTCAAAAAATGTAAATCCTATAAGCATCTCTAATACTTGACGTTTCCTTGCTTCTTTTAGAGTGAGTCAAAATGACTATTGACATATCATTCAATTGAATATACTTAACTCTTTTTTTTTTTTGTTGTCGTCAAACTACTACTTGCATTAAAAGGGGACTAGAGTTCAGCTTACAACAATCATTTTAGCAAGGCCTGATCTTGCCAAGGAATCAGCCTGGGAGTTTTCCAAACGAGGTACAAAAGAAAACGAAAATGGACTGAAGAGAGTGGCAAGGTGTCTAATATCCTGCAAGATACCCGCAATCTCATTCACGTCCCGCCCCTCGCGCAGGGCCGAGATAAGGACTTGACAGTCCGAAAATATGTGAAGGCTCTGAAGATTTAAATCTTTAGCCTTACTGAGAGCTTGTCTCATAGCGAGTGATTCCGCCATCAATGCTGAGCTGATGTGAGATCTGGCAGCAGAACCCCTGCATAACACGGCACCGTCACTAGATTTGATTATCCATCCCATGCCTCCTTCCATTGTGCTCTCCTGCCAAGCTCCATCACACCAACAAGAAGTTATTCTTCGAGGAGGAACACTTACAGGGGAGGGATGATGACAAGGTTGCTTCTTTGTCTCATTAGCCAGTTCCCATTCTCTAGCACTTCCCACAGCCTTGGTAATAATTTCTTCCACACTGAAAATTTTTCCTTCAAAAATCAAATTATTTCTTGTTGACCACAAGTTCCACAGAAACCATGGTATGAGGGGTGAAGAGATGATTCCGAGAGGTGGGAGAGCCACTCTTTTAACATGTGCTTCCAGCCATTCCATGATCTGGCTCTCTGAAGAGACGTCGATAGCAGAGCCTCCGAGAGGAACTTTTGACCAGAACTCAATTGCAAAAGGGCAGGAGATGAATAAATGATTTATGGTCTCCAGCTCTCCACACCTTTTGCAACTTAGTTCTGAGTTAATTCCACGCGTAGCAAGGAGAGAACCTACAGGGAGGGCTCTATTGAGAGATCTCCACAGGAAATGCTGAAGTTTTGGGGGAATGTGGAGTTTCCAGACTAGTTGCATCCAACCAAAGGGATCTGGGTTAATAGTATGATTTCCTTCAAAGATTTTTTTATACCCTGATTTTGATGAGTACACTCCTGAGGGATCAGGCAACCAGACCTTCTTATCACAAGGTTTTTGAGAGCTTGGGATGATGAGTCTGATACAGTCCTCATAATGAGGTAAATGCAAACGAATTTGCTCCAAATTCCATTCGTTGGTATGGTGGTCTAATAGGTCCGAGACCTTCAGGTTTTGGTTTGAGAAGGTAGGAGGGCCCATCGGTGTTAGCGGATAGAAAGGGGATAACCACTGGTCTGACCAGACATTGATGTCCTCGCCGTTTCCCACCAAAAAACCCAAACCTTGCTCCAAAACCGCTTTACCCGCCAAGATACTAGACCAACCATGAGAGGAGCCCGATTTCTCGCTACTTTCCAAGAAGGAACAGTCTGGAAAGTATTTACCTTTGAGTACCTTGGTTAGCATGGAGTTTGGCTTGTTGTGAATTCTCCATCCTAGTTTAGCTAAAAGAGAGTCATTATAGTCTTCCAGATTTTTGAAGCCAAGACCTCCTAACCATTTGGGCTGTGCCATAATATCCCAAGCTACCCAAGAAATTTTCCTTTTATCTGGGGAACTGTCCCACCAGAAGCGAGTGAGGATAGACTGGATACGCTTGCATAAAGATTTGGGAATCTTAAAACATGACATCGAGTGGGTGGGAAGAGAGGTCAACACCGACTGAAGCATTACGTGTTTCCCTGCTCCTGACAGGAATCTTGAAGTCCAAGACTGCGCTCTTTGTCTGATATTATCTACCAAGCCTGTGAAGACGTCCCGTTTACTTCTACCAAACGTCTCGGGGAGACCGAGATATTTTCCCATGCCGCCTTCTTTTTCAATTCCCAACGCTAGCTTGACCTTTTCCTTAATGTTTTCTGGTGTCTTTGATGAGAATGTTATCGTGGACTTATTCAAGTTGATACATTGGCCCGAGCTTCTCTCATAACTCCTCAGGATCGTACTAAGCACTCTGCAGTTTCTTTCATTGGTTTTGCAGAAAATCATTGTATCATCAGCAAAAAGGAGGTGATTAACATGTGGACTTCTCTAAGCGACTTGGAGACCCAGGAGGCTGCCATCTTCCTGAGCATTTTTGCACAAACCCGATAACACCTCTGTACATAGTATGAACAGATATGGTGAGAGCGGGTCTCCTTGTCGGAGGCCTCTAGTGGGTCTGACTTTCCCAAGAGGGGCACCGTTAATGAGAAAGGAATAAGTCACTGTGGTGACACATTCCATGATCCAGCCAATCCAAATAAACCTAAAGCCCATCCTCTTCATAACTCGCTCCAGGAAACCCCACTCAATACGATCGTACGCCTTGCTCATGTCAGTTTTTATGACCATTGAGCACCGTTTAGTAGCTTCTGAAACCTTCAAAAAATGGAGGGTTTCGTGTGTGATTAGCACATTATCTGAAATGGCTCTTCCTGGGACAAAGGCTGTTTGGTGCTGCGAGATAAGTTTCGGTAAGAACTGCTGTAACCGGCTGGTGAGGATCTTCGCTATGATCTTGTACCTTACATTACACAACGCAATAGGGCGATATTCTGCTGCTGATTTGGGTGCTGGAATTTTTGGGATCAGGCAGACATGCGTTTCAGTGATAAGGGAAGGCATAGACCCTGTCATAAAAAAGCTCCGAATCCCTCGGTAAATATCAGGCCCTAGCAAACTCCAAAAAGATTGGTAAAAACTGGCTGAGAAGCCATCTGAACCTGGAGCTTTATCAGCGTGAATAGCAAAGACCGCAGCCTTGATTTCCTCTTCCTCTGGGATGCGACAGAGATTATCATTCATCTCCTCCGTTATGCACTCTGAGATTGTCTCCTCCACTATTTGGTAATCCTCCGAGCCATTTGAGGTGAAGAGCTGCTGGTAGAAGGTTTCGAACACTTTGCTGATCTCTTCCTCCTCATAGACCGGTGTCCCTGTCTCATCTTCAATAGCCGTTATACCATTTCTCACCTTTCTACCTTTAGTAATCGCATGAAAGAACGCACTGTTCCGGTCTCCCCCTAGCAGCCATAGGATCCTACTCCTTTGTCTCCAGAAAAGTTCTTCATCCTTGTAGGCTTTACAAATCGCTTCTGAAAGCTCTTGTATTCTATGTATATCTGGGGTTACCTTCGATAACTCTTCTTCAAGTGCTGTTTGGTCTTGCAATACATTCCTGATGCTGATCTCTCTTTGTTCCTTCGCCCATCGTATGATCTCTCTTCTGCACCTCGAAATTTTTGTGTCCACACTTTCCTCCGTCCCTTTCCTCCAAGCAGTTTCAATGAGTACCCTAGCTTCCTCATTAACATTGAGTCTTCTATCGTACCTGAAAGGTCTTCTTCGCTTCTCTTTTGTAGCATCCAGATAAGTCATCAAAGGACGATGATCAGAGCCCTCAAACCTGAGGTAGTGACAGCAGCTTGCCGGGAATAGGATAGTATAACTGAGAGCGTCACGATGACTCCAAAAAATCATTTTCTCTATCTTCTAGCTTTTTGAGTTTTGACCTAACAAATAGATTGCAATTTCACACACATATGTTTAGAGTTTAAGTATATAATGCTTTAAATTTTTTGTAGATTTATAAATTGATGGATTAGTTTACATTATTTTTTGTAATACTGATTCAGTTATTTGGATTGAATATTATTCGTTTCTTATGTGAGCCATTGAATTAAATAAGGCAAATGGTCCACCATTTAATCCCATCACAAGCATTTCCACTACGGAAAAAGTGTGTCTTTGTGCTTAGTGCTACTAACCATACTATATGCATATTTATATTGTAAGGTAATCCATTTTTATTTCAACAAAAAATTACGACCATTAACCTAAAGTTTAATTTATAGTGGAGAGTGAGAAAACTATATTTATTGAATATTCATGCATGCGAATAATTAACTGAATTTACTAGAAATCATACTTTATCACAAACATAAAAAGATATCCAATAAACTATAAAAATTGTTGACAAGGTTTGTTGTAGAGGATTAGAAATTAAACTATTCGCACTGGAATTTTTCTAGCATTAGAAAGTATAACTAATGTGTTAGAAATGACATGGAAGTGTAATCTCATCGTTTTGAAGCTTTCAGATGTACCCATGCCACAAAGAGTCGGAACTCAAATAAAATGATCTCATGAGTCATGACCAACAAAGAGAAGTAGAAACTGTAGAGTGAAGAGAGAGGAGATGCTTTGTGTTTTGTTGAAGGACTATAAATTCGCATACTAAAATGATGAGAGGAAAAGTACACCAATGAGGTTGGAGGTTCCCACAGTTATGTTCTGCACTAGTTTGTGCATTACTACGTGAATGATTGTACAACTTTTTAAAATGGGTGTTGCAAAATAAATCTGTATCAAAATGGAACCGTATTTCATTTGCATGCCTAGCTAAAATTTTTTTTTTTGGGTGCAAATGTGTAGCTTATATTCTTAATTTTGCTATAGAAAATAATGCTGTGAAGGGTATAAACTGAATCTCAGTGTGATTCAGAATTTCATATTTAGAGTATTAATTATTTACATAATATATATATGTGGTATGCGTGTATACAAACATAAATATAGAATCAAAATAGCAAAGAAAACGAATCCATTAAACTCTGTAGTTTGTACTGAGTGTCGACCTTTATTGGTACACACTAGAAGATCCATTTACCGTGGGTGGTCCAATAATTTCGCCTTAGATATATATACACACTTTAATTGATCCCCAATGTATGATTATAAAAATGTATGTTACAAATGATCATAGAAGCTTTTGCGAATATTGATGATAGTGGGGATGAGGTAAAAGCATCAGTGAGAATTTGATGTGTCAGAGCATTCAGTGAGAATTTGATGTGTCAGAGCATTTTGACTGAGTTATATATTTGGGTCCTATTATACTGGACTCCAAGTGACCAACTTCCTTTGTTTAATTGGATTCTGTTAACCAAACAATAGTTGGATTCTCCTAGCGGCCATGGACAATGCGTGCCGTTCTGCGTATTTATACTCTTCTTCGTGCCGCTTTGCAAGAAAAAAAAAGTTAGGGGATTTCCGAATTATTTCGGGAGTTTGAACCCGACGTTAATCGAACACGCAACCTTCTGATCTGGAGTCAGACGCGCTACCATTGCGCCACGGATCCCCATGTTAAGATCGGACAGTTCTCTATATATAACAAATAATAATCAGGTTAAATAAGATTGAATCGTGAGTGTTGGAACTTCCCTCAGGTAAAGTCGAAAGTCTACTCTCCAATTCAATTCTAGAGATAACCGTCCTGCTGGCTCTGTTTCTGACCTTGTGAGACGTATCCAGCTTAGATATGGTAATAGAAGAGGCATGTATGAAGTCTTCTGCATCTTGTTTACAACTTAAGATCGAAGTAGTTTCTTTTTTGGTCTAACTAACTGCTCATGTTTTTTTATCAGCTCAAAGACTCTTAACTATGAAGACCCATTCAACAACCCTTTTGTTAAACTTGGTAAAGGAAGCTCAACGGTATAGATGTGCGGGAAAGTTTATAAGTTAGCTCCAATTACACTTACTGAGAAAGAACAAAGTATTCATCAGAGAAGAAGGTCAAGAGCTTTACCAATGGAAAAGACCAACGGTTTTCCTCAAAGAAGGAGACTCTATACCTCCTGATGTTGATCTTGATACTGTTAGATGGATCCCTGCGAATCATCCTGATGTTGATCTTGATACTGTTAGATGGATCCCTGCGAATCATCCTTTTGCCACTACGGTTAGCGATATTGATCAGGACCTTGCTCAGAACAATGTGTACCAAAAGCTAGGTGTTCCTTTCCGGATTCGTGCTGAGCATGAAGCTATGCAGAAGAAGCTTGAAGCTTTACAAAATGTAAGGTATAACTGTTGTATTTTTTTGCAGGTAATCAACAAGTTTTAAGAAATAATGATTGCTAGGTTGTGTGTGTTTCTTACAGGAGGAGAAGTTGAATAATCTGGGGATTGATAGTGAAAATGCTAGAGTTTTTCAGAAGGCAGACAAGTTCTCAGGTAAGTTTGAAGACGAGAATGTCCAGAAGAGTTCTCAGGAGAATTTTACTGGTAATTTACACACAAGTCTTGAGACGCACTAAGCTTTGTATAGATAGCTTTGGAGATCACACTTGCGCTGCAAGAAACTTGAGATATTTTTTTGTAGTAAACCTTCAAAAATTTTAAAATCTATGTTTTCATTTGCTTTCAAGAGTTTGAATCTCAAATCTTCGAGATAATCAACGAGTTAAAATCTTACCACAGTATTCGGTTCGGGTAATTGGGCTTTTTGTTAGTTTGATTCAACATAAATCTTGTAGAATTCATCCAAAATAAAGTTCAGCTTAGTATTAAGTTATTTTGGTTTTTGAAAATTGTACTGAAGTTTTTTATTTCAATTAGAATTTGGTATAATTTTGTTAAAATTTAGGATAAATTCGGTTTACTCGGTTCAAATTTTGATTAGTTTGGCTCGGATTTTTTGGTAAAACTATTTTTAAGTAGAAACCAGAGTATCCGATTGCCAAACCGAATCGAACTGAAAACCAAAACTTTTTTAGAAAATCTATCAAATCTAATCAAACCGAACCTTTAACCGAACTAACCAAATTTTCTTAAAGGGTCAAACTTGTGTTGGAAAGTGGCAAAGACAGAAAATTGAGTAATTATTAGATTAATTTTGATAACAAAAAAAACAGAGAAAGAGAGACAAAAACGAAATGAAGGTATCCCAAAACCAAAAGAAAAGAGTTGAAGAAATGTTTTAAGTACAAATAACATATGAAGAAGAAACAAAGGTTACAAACTATATATCCTTCTCAGGAGCAGAAGCTTGAGCCTGAGCACCAAAGGCAAAGTAGTCTGTAATAACCTCCAAAGGCATACCTTTAGTCTCCGGGACCTTCATGTAAACAAAGATCCACGAGATAACGCAAACCGCACCGTAAATGATGAACACACCAACGAGTCCTATCGAGCTTAGGAGAACAGGAAGCGAGTAAGTGACGATAATGTCTCCAATCCAAAACACCATGGCGCAGATAGCAATGCAGAGACCACGAACTCTTGTTGGGAAGATTTCAGAACAGAGGATGTTTGGAATGGGACCGTAACCCATCACGAAGAAGCAGAAGTAGAGTATCACACAGGCTGTGGAGAGCGCTGCGTTTACAACTTTGCTGATGTGGACAAGCTCGCTGATGACTAGGACGATTAGTGAGAGGATCAGAACAGGGATGGTCCAGAGAAGTAATGCCCTGTAAAGGAAAACAGAGGATGGTTTGAGAAAACCAATGTTTTAAAAAACCGGACCGGACATTGACATGGTTGGCAGGTCTTATCAGTTCAAACAAGTTTTCTTATTACTTTTAATGAATAAAATATATAAATGTAAAATTATATACTTGATTTATATATTTTTTCTCAATATTGTAATTATAAAATAATATAAATATAATTATATACTAATTTAATTAGGTAATTATCAGGAATTAATATGAATTTATACAAAATTGTCTAGATTGGAAAAAAAATTTACTAAAATTTCAGAAAACTAGGTTTTAATATTGAACCGGGTCACTGGTTTTGCTGAGTTTGTCTGGTTTTTGACCGGTTTTGACGATCTAACTCAAATCCGGTTTTTAGAATGACCGGAACCGGTAAGATATCGGTATAACCCGGTTCGACTGACCGGTCCGGTTTTCAAAACACTGCAGAAAACAGAGGATGTTGAGACAAAAAAACTTATGGGTTTTCGGTAGTTACCTTCTTCCGGAGACATCCATGAGTCTCATGGCAACAACAATAGATGGAAGCATGAGTAAAGTTGTTAACCCGCTGATGAGGAACGACGCAGAGATAGAACTTAGTCCAAAGCTTGAAAGAAGAATGTCTACACCAGCACGTTCAAGAATCTGAGGAGTGTAGTAAAGAACTCCATTGATACCTGAAAACTGTTGCAGTATCTGAATCCCAACACCAACAACCAACGCACGCTTGACACCAGGTTCAAGAAGAGCAGACCAGAGTGGTCCTGTAGGAGCGGTTTTCTCAGGAGGAACCATGGCAGATCCATGGATTGATTTAGGACCAAGAACTGATTTGCTCACAAGTGCTGAAGCGTGAATGTAGCTGCCTCCTCCATCTTGACCACCAGGAAGAGAAATGATCGAGCCACGGCGAGACTCTGCATTGTCTTCTTTGAGATAATACCTTTTGTATTCACCATTGTCATATCTATATCCCATATGCCAACCACCACCTATTCCCATGTTGGATTCTCCAGTAAGTGTGCTGTGGCGTCTCATGCTCAGCGTGCTTCCTCCTGTAGGGTGTGGGATCATGTCCTTGTCCATGCTGGTTGTCTGGCGAGACATCAACGGGCTGCGAAGATCGTTGTCTGAGTCATCATCAGCTGCATTATCATCGGTTGCGTAGTCATCATGGTCTTTGTTGAATTGGCCTTCTACGTCTTTCTCCCAGTGAGCTGGCTTCCCGTGAGGCATGTCAGCGTTAGTGCTGAACATGCTTCCGAAATGAGGGAAGATCCCACTCCTTGTGTTTCCTCCTCCACCTGCTTCAGGCATCTTCTCGTGGAGGCTGTCGAATAGACCAACAAGGGGGTCTTTGAGGATCATGCTCTGGTTTGCTAAGCTTCCGTGGCGAGAACGTAGAAATAGTGAGCTCTGTTGTTCAGGGACAGGTCTAGCAATGTAAGATTGATTCTCATGTGTTCCAAGAAGCCTCATTTGTCCGTCCTCGTCAACGGTTTCAAGTGTTTCATGATCATCCAAAGTTACTAAGAGATCCTCTAATGTTTTCTCTCCTCCTATGTCTAGTCCTTCAACAAGCAAAGCCATCTCATCTACAAGAACATGAACAATAACATGTTAGTAGCAGAAACCAAAGTCATAAGACAGAGTCACAGAGAGAAAGGAGCCTTACCGGTAACATCTTCTCTCCCACATAACTGTTGAAGCACTTTCTTAGCTTCATCCATTCTTCCTTTACTAACCAACCAACGAGGAGACTCAGGCAAATAAAACACAGTGAAAAACAAATACACAAGAGAAGGTATCGAGAGGACACCAAGCATCCCTCTCCAGCTAGGAGCCTCGCTAAGTGACATAGTGAAAACCATACAGTAAGACAAAAACATCCCACCAGAGCCAAGAAACTGAGGAAGAGTGTTGAGCTGTCCTCTGATCTCCGGAGGAGCGGTCTCAGAGATGTAAACAGGGACAAGAGTAACCGCAAGACCAGCACCAAACCCATCAAGAAGCCTAGCTAAACACAGAACATAGACATTTGGGGACCACCACATTATCAAACCGCTGAGGAAATACATAACTGATGATAAAATCAGCATGGGGCGTCTCCCTAGCCAATCAGAGATGGGTCCAGAGCAAGTGGTGATGACCGTTGCACCGATCAATGACATGGCTACAACAAGACCTTGAACAGAGGTTGGTAGATTCATGTCTTTGTTGATATAGATCATAGCTCCTGTAATCAAATCTCAAAATGAGAATTGATCTGAACCAAACAAATACACAATCTAGAGAAAGAGTTAAACAAACCAGCAATAGTGGCATTGTCCCATCCTTGCAAGAAATTGCCGATAGTGGCGGCGAGAGCAACGAGTGTCGCTCCCTTCATTGTTCAACCAAACCTTAAAACACCAATCAAAGTTTCAAACTTTTAGTCAAAATCTTTCAAAATCCAGATCTAAATCACAAAATATGATAAACCCACAAGATTCAGTTCGATTAAACTAAAAGACTCTTCATCAATGGAGGTGAGAAGGATTGATTTTTATTTAAACAGAGTACAAGGAAGCTTATGTGAAAGCAAAGAGATAAGGAACCCAAAAGGAAAAAGGTGTCACCTTTTCTTTCTCCGACAGTAACGAGGAACTGAGCTCTTTTTTTTTCTGTTTTGCCTTTTCGTCTCTGATTTTATAAAAACCAAGAGGCGTTGAAATAGGGATGAATGATTTTGGACTCCTTTTGATATTTGCTAAGTTTAGAGATTTTAATTAGTTTTTTTTTTTTATGTACAAACAGAGGCTCTGGTGATGAAATCTACAAATAAGGACAAGAAGAAATGTGTTATAAAAAAAAAGGACATTTTTTTATTTTTGGGACAAGAGGTAATGAATAGTTCATTGACAAAATGAAATAAAAATTATTGCTACCAAACAAAAGGTTTTGTTACTCTTTTCTTTTTGGTTCCCAAGAGAATATTCTCACCGCCGGGATCTAACTCTATGTTTATTGGGAAAGTGAAAGCAAGGCAATAATTGAATTTACATCACTAGTTTTTCGGGTGGTTAAAAATCTGTGGCGGAAGAGCTATCAAATGAATATACGTTTCTCCCACACATGCAGTTCTTTCTTATTAAAATCATAATTTACTCTTTTTTGTTCTTTAAAAACAGTTAGTTTGAAATCGCATGCAATTTAATATATTTTGTATTTTTGTAAAAAAGTGGAAAATTTGCAGATTTTTCTGGCTAACATTTGGTAACATTAATTTGTTTTTATCTAATAAATAATCTTGTTATAAACACTAAACTTTAAAATATATTTATCTACTTTTATAAATATGATATTTTCGTTTTATTTGACTTACAACCTTAATTTCAGTTTTTAAGTAACAAACCATGTTTATGGAGTCTAGATTTCTCCGTTACTTTGGTTTTATATCCTCTTAATGAACTTCTCTATTTTATCTCAACAAACATTACTTCATAAATAACATTGTCCAAAACTATATGACCAATAAATTAATAATAGTCATTTGTTTGCTAAAATAATTACTGAACTCATACTCATTACAAGTTTTATTACTAATATTTTTTATCAAACACTATATTTTGTTTTAGGCCTATTTTATTTCTAACTATCAATTTCCAGTGACATAAATATTATATATTATACTGCAGTGTATTTTACTAAAAGTTACAAAATATGCTAGCTGGAATTTCTCATAAAAATAATTAATAGTTTTGAACTCTAATAATTATCTGCCAACAATATTAGTATACTGGTTTATATAGGGATCGAAAGTTCAAATCCACATCTATACTATTATTTGCGAAGTGATTTTTCGCAACGAAGCTCTCACGTTAAAAGTTGGAGTGGTTAATATCGTTTATACCCTTCATGAATAATATATATAAATCAGCCAAAAATAAAAATGAATTTAATATTTATTTGATTAGATAAATGATTTAAACTGATAATAATAATAAGAATTATCCATACTCTAAATATATATTTAAAAATAAAAAGATAATTCCTATATATATTGTGTTGTTATCCGGAAATATATTTTTAATAAAAAAACTCAAAATCAGAAAACACATAAATAAAATGTAATTATTTTAAAAATAAAATATAATTCCTATATATATTGTGTTGTTATCCGGAATTTAAAAAAAAAACAAAAACAGAAAACACATAAATAAATATTTATAAAATAAAATCTTCAATTGCATATAATTCAAAAAGAGAAAATTGAAAAAAATATAATACGTAATTTTTTATTAAAAAAATATAATAATATAATTTAAGGATAGATATTTGTAAAGTTATTTTTCGCCTCTGAACTCACACGTTAAATTAAATTTATATTTATATTTTATATAGTTAAACCTTAAACATGAATTAATCATATAAAATAAAAATTCATTCAAAAAGAAAGAAAATACGTGTTTGATAAAAATAAATTCAAATATATTGTATAGTTATCTAAACTAATATTATTTTTTTCGTAAGATCGACTTTTTTGGAGGCAAATAATCATTAATTTTGTTATTTTTTTAAATTGATTTAAAGATAATTAAGCCGGCATGTGCGGGCAAAACACCTAGTAATGTATATATTGTTAAAGAAAAAAAATTACTCTGGTAGGTTTACAACGTTCAATTCCCATAGAAACAATATCTATAATAGACTGATCATCCCTAATTGGAATCTTTTTCCATATCACGAATTGGAATCTTAAGAATTACACAATTCCTATATACTGAGTATTATTTTATGATATCCCAATAGCAGAAGAGACCAGAAATAAACAGCAATGAAGGTGAACTTTTTTTTCTAATAAATTACGACCAGATCAATGTGGAACATGCAAATACAGAGGATCCACGTTATAGAACAGCATTTCATTTGTTGTCAAGGTTAATAACAATACAAATAAACAAAAAAAGATTTACAACTTTTCGGTCACATCGAATGTAATATTTTACTTTTCAGATGTCACACTCTGAGTCGTACATTGGTGGGGAGCTAACAATTCATACAAATAATGATTCAATTTACACGATTCGCAAGTGATCATGTGGCTTAGTTATATATATATATATATTTACATAAAATAGTTATTTACTCCAACCCATAAAGAGTAAAAGCATATACATCAAGGGTCTAAGATCACCCCTATTAGTGAACTTGGGTAGGGGGTTCATAACTTTTTTTTTTATTTTTTTCGTTTGATATTTTTTTTAAAAACTAATAAAAAATAGTTGAATTAATCACGGGTCGCCACGTGTCATGGGACCCACGAAACTGTCATGATCCCAGTTCGTCGCAGTGAACCTGTAAGGGGTGAGTTCACAAAATTTATTAGATTTTATTTGATTTTTCTAGGAATTGAGCCATGAACCCCTCTAAAATACCATAATGGGCATACTCTAAGGAAGAGGATCACACGCATCCAAAAAAAAATTATTATAATAAGTAATAGTGTTGAATCCGATTCGCCATGCTCCTTTCGCATAAACCCAGATTGTTACTGTTTAGCGGGTCCCACATCATGTGACGGCCCGCTATTAGTCAGTTTAATTCTTTTAAAAAATAAAATCAAAGGAAAAAAATTAATAATAATATAAAACTCAAATTGTGAACTCTAACCGGAGATTCATTAATGCGCTTGCTCTAACCCGGAGTTATCATTCCAACGACCACTGGAGAAATGGCCGGCTAGGTTACATACGAAATCAGTATAAGTATATATTAGCTTAGATCATACTTTTGACATGAATAATATATACCAGCACGCACAATGGTTGTATGCACTGCAAAATTGCGTCAAAAAGAAGAAGATATTTAGGAGGAAACTTGATATAAAACGAAGTTAAAATTACTGTTAGAAAAGAAAAATGTTATAATCAAGAGACAGATGGGGTAAGTGCAATGGGAGATGAACATGGCGTTAGTGAGAGGGCACGTGATTTTTTATTTATTTTTTGATATTTATACTATTAAGTGCTTTGTCACTTCCTCACGCATCATTTTGTGCCCTACCAGTTACTTCTCCTCTACTACTCTACTATATTACAAATAAATATGAAAAGTTTAGTCGACAACATGATACAGTACACCAATAATTTTCAATACTGATAACATTTATGTATGTTTTCCTACTTTTTGCGACAAAATTGTGATTTTTTTTCTTTGCGCAACCCAATTGAGAAATACTAAAATCAAACATTTTTAAAAAAATAATAAAGAGATCTATATATAAGACATAGTCCTAAATAAACATAGACAACGGTCTTATTCTTGGTAGAGTTTGTGCTCCCAAATCATTCGAGCATCTCCGACCACGTGTCTCCACTTCAAACGGATCTTAAAAACATGCTTTTTGTTTTTATTTCATTTTTATTTTTTAAAGTTTTTGTTTTTTATTTTGTCCCTAAAAACGAACTACCAACTATTTATTTAGTTTATACAAGTAGCTAGATGTTCTGTAAAGATAGAACCAGTGAGTTTTCAGTTTGAACTTTCACATGATTCATGTTTTAAATGATTAACTTTATGATATACATGGTTTTACTTCATAGTGCTTGGTGGTCATCAACATAAAATAAGGTTTAAGTACGAAGATCTGATCCTCCTGACATTGTTATCAGATATCTTGGTGGATTGACAGGTCAAACTTTGTTCTTTACAGCATTATAATCTTAAATAGACAAAAGAAACACTTCACTATGATCTCATGTTTTATGAATTATAAATTGCCTGATTAAATAATTCTTGGGGACTAAGTATCATTTCTAAGGGATTATCTCCAAATATGTGGGCATAGTATGGACTTGACTAAGAGCATACCCATTTATTCCAAAGCCTGTCTTATATGATTAAATTTCCAGCCCAAGGAGAGGGTTCTCGTGCTGCACAGAACTTACTAAACAAACATATACATTACTTGGAGTCAAAGTTTCATCAGGGGAGACAACACTAAGCTTAAAGACACAGACAATAAAGAAGATTCAGATTCAGACAACTTTACTCAAAAGCAAAAAGATCAACATCTATCTATAACTTCAGCCTATATAAACTAACCATTCTCTTCCAATTACTCCATCAACTAACAATTTACAAACTTCTATTCACCCTAATGGCTCTCTCTTCTCCTACAAGAATCCTCTGTTTTGCTCTCGCCTTATCTGCTGCATCTCTTTCCCTCTCTCTCGCTGCTTCCCATGACTTCTCCATAGTTGGATACTCCCCCGAGGATTTGGAGTCTCATGACAAACTCATCGAACTCTTCGAAAACTGGCTCTCCAACTTCGAGAAAGCTTACGAAACCGTTGAAGAGAAGTTTCGTAGGTTCGAAGTTTTCAAAGACAACCTGAAACACATCGACGAGACTAACAAGAAAGTGAAAAGCTACTGGCTTGGTCTCAACGAGTTTGCGGATTTGAGCCATGAAGAGTTCAAGAACAAGTACTTGGGGCTCAAGACTGATATAGCAAGACGCGAAGATGAAAGATCTTACCAAGAGTTCGCTTATGAGGACGTTGACGTTGAGGCTTTGCCTAAATCTGTTGACTGGAGAAAGAAAGGAGCCGTGAGCTATGTCAAGAACCAAGGCTCTTGCGGTAATCTCACATCTTGGACTACTTTAATGTGTTATAGTTTTATTTTTTTCCATTTAAATTTTGTTTTTTTTTAATTGTTATGCAGGAAGTTGTTGGGCGTTTTCGACAGTAGCTGCAGTGGAAGGTATAAACAAGATTGTAACAGGAAACTTGACGACATTGTCTGAACAAGAACTCATAGATTGTGACACAACTTACAACAATGGCTGCAATGGTGGTCTTATGGACTATGCTTTTGAGTACATTGTCAAGAACGGAGGCCTTCGCAAGGAAGAAGATTATCCTTACTCCATGGAAGAAGGAACTTGCGAAACGCAAAAGGATGAATCTGAAATGGTGACAATCAATGGGCACCAAGATGTGCCTAGGAACGATGAGAAAAGTCTCTTGAAGGCATTGGCTCATCAGCCTCTCAGTGTTGCCATTGATGCCTCTGGTAGAGAGTTCCAGTTCTATAGCGGCGTAAGTATATTATTAAACACATGATTAAGAAAATGACTGATCAGTTAGATAATCTTATTGATGTTTGAATCATTGTGTTTTGGTGTATGAAGGGTGTCTTTGATGGACGGTGTGGTGTGGATTTGGACCATGGTGTGGCTGCGGTTGGGTACGGATCAAGCAAGGGTTCAGATTACATCATCGTGAAGAATTCTTGGGGACCAACATGGGGAGAGAAAGGTTACATCAGGATGAAGAGGAACACTGGCAAACCAGAGGGTCTCTGTGGAATCAATAAGATGGCTTCTTTCCCCACTAAAACTAAGTAAAGACATCATTTTATCTTATCTACATCTGATCACTATCTTCATAGCAATATGAATGTTGTCATGAAATTGTAATATTAACTATGTTCTCTATTGATTCAGAGAATAGAAATGTTGTAACAACTATGAGCAATAATAAACTGATTACAAAATGATGATTTTTTCTTTTTAGCAAAGAAAGCATTCATAAATAAAAGAAAAACAAAAGACGTTTCATTGTTAGAAAGTTCAAAAAGAAAACAGAGGAAGCGTACATTAAACTGTTTCTTGGGTAAGAAGTAAATGTAAAATTAAATATCAAAGATGAAAAAAAATAGTAGGAACTAAACATAAACATAAAAGTAGCTTCCGTTGTCTACTAAACTTGGTCAGAAAAAAAAAACTTGAACTGATTCATCATTGTGTCGGAAGCAAAGTGCTTGCTGATGATTGCCTGCCAACAATCTGTGACTCATCTTGGCTCTCATGATTGTTATTTCGTTCTTGTTCGTGCTCGTTCTCCTCTAACGATCTTCCCATAGTTTCTTTGGTGAAGAAGTAAGTGACAAACATTCCAGCAATGCAAACTCCACCAAGAATCAAGAAAGCAACACTCATATTATTAACCTCGGGATAAACCTTGTTCATGTCATCTCCGTCTTCTTCCTTCTCCGTGGCCCACAAGAACCCAACAGTTCCCACAATAGCCCCAAGCTTCCCCGCGGCTCCAGATATCCCGTGGCAAGTCGACCTAAACCTAGCCGGGAAAAGCTCTGCGGGTATGATAAAAGTCGTAGTGTTGGGACCAAAGTTAGAAAAGAAAAAAACCAAACCGTAAAGAACCATAAAGCCTTTCTTCGTCTGCTCATGCTTTGACCAATACCAAGTGTATGGAATCCCTGCGACCAAATAAACAACGGCCATGAAGAAAAACCCCATTATCTGAATCTTAACACGACCTATCTTGTCGATGAAGTAAACTGTGAACCAATAACCAGGAATGGTTGAGCAAGCGGCTATGATGGCTCCTAGCTCCGCCACTTCGAAGGCTGCATCGTAGACGTTCTCAGTGGTGGAGGAAGAAGATTTATCCGAGTAGTGGCTGAAAATTTGGGAGAGGAGGAGGTTGCTTGTGTAGAAAACAACGTCTACTAGGAACCAGTTAACAGATGCGGCAAAGAGGTCACGGCCGTGGAGGCGGAGGAAGCGGAGGGAGAAGAGTGTGTATGAAGGAGGCAAAGGAGGAGGAGGTAGTGGTGGCTCCGTTGTTGTTTCATCGGAGATATCAGTTATTGTCATGACTCTTTCCATGTCTTTTGCTGCTTGGACGATATTGTTTTCCACAAGTGCTGTGTATCTGCATGCAGCATGCATCAGTACTACTTTTAATTAAATAACAACCCGCAATTTATATAAAATATAACATTTACAAAATCTAGTTTTTGTTATTTTGACCCTTTTTTTTTTTCTAATGAATGCCGTACAGATAAGAGTACGTGTGGGGATAATTTTAAATAATTTGAATTGAAAATTAATTTGTGGATTAGCTGGAGCTTATACCAATGGTATATATTAATATTAGATGAAATGTCTGATTGGTGAAGACTTTTTTAGTTAAAATGATTGGTGGAGACTTAGAATAGCCAATGCTAACGTATAAGGGTAAGATATATATAGGTGGTAAAGACATGAATAACCCCGATCTTTTAGCCGGAGTTCTTAATTCATATTTTTTTTTTGTTTTTTTCTTACATTTTTCGACTAATAGAAAATTTTATATCTCATATCTAAAAAACTGTTTTTAATTAAAATCTAAGAAAAATTAAGAACCGTCTTAGTCTAAGAATTCCAGCTAAGATATCCGGATTAATTATGGTATGGTCTAAGGTATATACCACAGTGTTTGGTATCCCTTACAAAGTCAATGAATCATCTGAAAGGAATCACTTATTTGAAACCTTAGGAGTTAATATATGCATACATATAGCTACACTCTTTTTTAAGGAATCTGATATTATATATCGAAAATATCTTTTCTTTTTTTGGATAAAAAAACTATGGTTTCAAACCTAAAATATATATATATATATATATATATATATATATATATATAGAAAATATCTAAAATACCATAAAACTATGGTTCCAAGCCTACCACCATCTCTAACCTTTTTCACCAAATAAACCAACCTTTTGTATCGTCAATTAATTAAAAACCCACTGAAAGCTCTTGAATACGATCATAGGTCAGGAGTATATATATATATATGTGTATGTGCCTGATCTGAAAAGTTGTCTAAAAATAGTCAATTACCAGAGAATATTCGTTAATGACAAACAAATGATTTTCTTTTTGATGTACAATGTATCTAGAGAAGCTTTCACACAAAAAATGATTAGTTCTTAATTCTAATAACTCGTATATTGTCTTCAAAAGAAAAACTCGTATGTATGGGTGACAACTGACAAATGCGTTGGTCCAAGAAAAACTATCAAAATAGGGTAGCTTTAGAAAATCTAGCTAGTAGCTCTCAAGAATTAAAATGTGAGTCAAGTAGCCAATAAAAATATAGTGAGACAAGGTACGTCCTTTCTAATTTGTGATTGGATACATAAAATATATAAATCTATTAAAAGGATATTTAAAACTAATACTGACTAAAATATTAGTGAGAAAAAAAATAAGGTTTGTGGACGGACCTTGCGGTTTCAGGCATGAGCATTCGCCAGTAAAACGTCAATGCAGCAGGAAGAGCACCGATCATTAATATAAGCCTCCACGCCACGTCAGCTTCAGGCGGAGCCTTGCCATCTGTCTCTGAACCACCGCCGCCACCTCTTTTAAACGCCACGCAAACAGCCATGGTCACGGCTGAGCTCACAAGAATCCCCAACCCTTGCATAGAAAACACCGCAGCTATAAACGCGCCACGTGTCCTCTTATTAGCAAACTCGGACATAATAGTAGCCGAGAGAGGGTAATCACCACCGATACCCAAACCGAGAATAAACCGGAAGAAACCGAGACTAACCACAACACAAGACCTACGCGTGGTGCACACGGAGAAGCCACAACCGAAGGAGCTTAAGATCATTATGATGAGACAAAGGCCGTAGACTCGGCGACGACCGACTCGGTCCCCGAGGTAACCGAACACGAGTTGACCTGCTGCTGTCCCGAGGAGAGCGATGGCGTAAGAAGTGGAGAGAACGGCTGTGTTGATGGATTCACCGTGGTAATAAACATGGCTGATCATTTTCATGACGGGTGCGATGCAGAAGAGGTCGTAAGCGTCGGTGAATAGTCCCATACCTGCGACTATGATGGCTTTGAAATGGTACCATTGTATTCGAGCTGCATCGAGTGATGACAATAACTTTATTGACATCGTCTTTTTCTTCTTGATCTGAGATTCTGAATCCAGAGCTTTTTTTCTTTTGGTTTATCTTTTGGAATTTTTGTAAGGAAATGAAAGTGTGATAGGACAGAGACTATTATTTATAACGAGAAGTCGCTGTCTTTTTTGCTGCGTTATTTTATTTAGTTGAGCATGGAACATGCTTGTGATTTGACTCCGAGGAAGACTTGGTCATGTTGTTCTTATTACCTTTTATGTTGTCACAATGGGCACAACATTATATTTTGTTTGAAATCTGCCAGCAGATTAAACCGGTTTCAGTTATGTTCATATTACATGGCTCCATGAGGAATTTTATTGCTATAGATTATCATCAGGAGATATCTATGATATTGATTTTGTATACAATAAAAATACATTTTAGATAATATGAGACTTATTTCAAGAATTTCACTGAATCAAATTCCATTTGTTTTCGGTTGTAATTCACTAAAACTTACATTAGTGCTTCCGTGAGTTTAGATCTGTCTATATCTTTAAGAAATGGTTTATAATGATGATCGGTTTAATTAGTTCTCGAATCTTTCATCTCCATGACAAGTAATAAGCGAAGAGGCTCTAGTAATAAACATGAAGGTGTTTAAAAACAGATAATACTCAGCGAAAGATGGAGCAAAAGACAGAAACAATAAGAAATGTCCTGAAGTAACAATTTATCAGTCTAGAAACTGTACATACATGGAAAAGAGAAGAGCCATGGGAGCTAAAATATGTGCAAAGACAATAAGCTAAGTGAACTCAAATAGACAATAATTCTATTCACAATGCACAAGACTCGACTCAATAAGACATAAAAAAGGTTACCTAACGCTCTTCTTACTTACACACAGTCCTATGCCTTAAGAAAGTAAGTAAGAAGACAACTTAAGCTATCAAAAGAATCAGATTTTGATTCCACCATTCTATATGCATCTGTATATTTTTCTTACTATATGTATAGTATGCTGTTTATTTGTACACCGAGCTTGTTACTACCAGTTCACCGAGAAAACCCTTGCTTCCAGGGTGAAACCATTCATAGGTATATACATGATGAGAGGGTTACGATAACATAAGCACAACCCCTGAAACTTCCCTTGTCCTTAGCCTAAAATCCGTTTTCCAGAGCGCAACCCTTATTTACATCTTCATTTAGCAAGACTACTTACAGCCTGCAACAACAATAATGTGGTGAGATTAAACACATTTGTAAGTAATGAATCATAAAGAGGCATTAGTAAGTAATAAGCTCTACCTCTAATAGTTTAAAAATAAATAATGCGCAAAGCTTAAACAGAGTAGCATTTTCGCTGCCCGTTAACTTCTTTTCCTTTCATGCAGTTTTCAAAAAACTATTTTAACATCAAGCCGTTTAAGAAATGTAATTTAAGTGTGTACCAAGCCAATTAAAAATCGTTGAAATAATCAATTAATACTTAACGTTGATTGTTTTTTTTTCACCCTGTTGTTTGGTCAGAACTGCTACTCTGCATATACTGAGGAGTCTGGACAATCATATGGGACTGCGTTGGCGTAGGAGGACCTGCTATAGCTGAAGGGTAAGGAGATTGAATATGACTTTCTGGAACTGAATAGCCCTGTACTGCTGTATAACCATGACCAACCGGGATGTTTTGACTCAGTTGCCCGTATTGGTAACCTGGTGAATTAACTGCCCCATAAATTTGAAGGTACTGTTGCCCCGTGTAAGGACCATATAAGCCCTGAAACAACCAAAAGTCAAAACAGTTTCAAATGCTTAAATAAACCTAGAAGAGACTGCAACAAGTTTAGAAGCCTACCCGAGAGTGTGAGTACATCTGCTCAGGTCCATATGTTGTAACCCTGAGAGAACACCAAAAAAATAAAAGAGACCAATTACAACATGTCACATCCCAGTTCTAACTCAAGAACCCTATGTGGCGATTACAATAGCAACGAGATTTTGTAAACTCCAAATTGCGTAACTCACCCATAAGGGTACATTACTCCATGCTGGTAGCTATAAGCAGGTGGTTGCTGATACGGATGCCTTCCAAAAAGTGAACCGCGAGGACCCTGCACACTTCCAACATATGGGGAAACAGGTCCTATTCGTCCTAACAAAAAAAAAAAACAATGTAAAAGGTCTTAGTAAGTTATGGAAGAAAAAAGAACAGATGGATACTGAAGCAAAACTGACCAGGAACATTGGGTATCATCGCATATTGCATTGGAAACCGAGGCCTCCCAAGAGAAGCAAGATTACAATTCGCACGTCTGCCATCTATAATAGGTGTTGGATCGACACAAGCTCTCCTAGCTGCCTCTTGATCTCGAAAAGTCACCTAAAATCCTCCATTCCAAATCAATAACAAAGCGCTAACTCATTAAACAATCTTGAAAATGCTCTCATCTTATTATGTTTATCCAGGGGGCTATGATTCTAAGCCAAAACTATAACTGTTAACGCAAAACTCAGAACTAAACTCTCTCTAAAGCACACTATGGAAGCAGAGGATGTTTATGAACTATGAATATAGAAACAAAAAAAAACATGAATAACGTCAACAAAAGATAGGAAACTCACAAAGCCGTAACCTTTGGATCGACCAGTGTTCTTATCAGTAATAACAACCGCCTCAAGGATCTCACCATACGGTTCGAAATGCCGACGAAGAGTGTCGCTTTGAGTCTCCCAAGCAAGGCCACCAACAAAGACCTTGGTAAACGTTGTATCACCAAAAGGAGAATTCAAGTAATGAAACGCAGAGCCTGGAACAGAGTGATACGCCATGATATAGAAAAGAGACAAAGTCTGGAACTTTTTTCTTCACAGGGAAGCAAAAGGTATTGACAAGAACCGATTCTAACTAAATGATTGACTAAAACTTGACCAAGTAAACCCTAGAAACGTAAATTCTGGATGCTTAGAGCTTAAGAAACAGAGCAGATCGAATTGGAAGGCGGAGGATTCTATTCTAGGGTTTACTCGGGTCTGTAAAGAGAAGAAATTAAAAACAGAATTTCCCGGGAATGATCAGACAAGGATCATACTAACAAGAAATGATCAGGACAGAGAAAATTTCCCGGGAAAAAATTAACAGAAAATGAAAAAAGTTTGGAACTTTGAAAGATGGTTGAGTGTAGGGTTTCTGAATTGGTGAGAAAAGAAAGACAAAATCAGAAACGAGATAGAGACGATTCGCAGATCAAGCGTTGGGGGAGATGGAGATGAGAGAGAAAGGTGGGAGAGGGAAGAATCAGTGTGAAAGGAAAGTAAGGTTTCTTTGTTTCACATTGATGACGACGAGGATGATGCGTCATTACGATTCAATATGAATTGTTCTGACAGAGAAACAGAGTTTAGTTTCTTCTTCTTTTTCGAATGGGTCCCCCGCTCAAAATATCTAATTTTGTGTTAGTTTAATGCTGTAATTACTGAAAAACGAGTGAATTAATCAAATTGTGAAATGTGTAAAGTTACTGCCTTGCAATAACTAACGTACGTCTTCATATGTTTTAGTTTCTGTTAATTAGTTATTTAACATTGTTCAATCTCTTTCTTTTGAATTACTCCAACTCCCTCAAAAGATTATATACCATGTTGTTCTTTTAGAATTTTTTTTTTTGTTTGGTTTTAATATTTGTTGGATGGATAGAAACTGAAATGGATAAGCTTTATAAGACCATCTACCTACTAAATTATACTATACCATCAAATTAAATAAGTTAGGAAAAGGACTTTCCTCTGCAATGGTAGTGCGTCCTTTTCACATCTAAATTATTGTAATTTTTATTCATAAGCATACAAAATTAGAAATTTTGGATTATCTTGTTCTTAATAATGAAGCCGTAAATTTCTTTAGATCCTTTACTCTTTTTGGCATATAGTTGTCGTAAGAGTCTAGACATATACATATTGTCCAATAGTCAAGTTTGAGAAAAAGAATTATGTCAAAAACATCCAAAATACCTAACTCGCATTCATATGATACAACTCAAACAGAAACAGAACTGAATTGGATGAACAAATATCAAGAAATAGCAGAGTAACAAAATAGAAATGCGAGAGAAAACAAGCACCTGTTAATAAACCATATGCTTCTTCTTAATTTGGGAGGAGATTTTTAACGAGAAAAAAAAAAAGCATTGCCTATATTGTAAATGATGAACCACCGTTCTTTGAACCTTTGGTATAGCCACGATTTCTTTTGGTCCCAACGTCACCAAAACATACAACGAGATTTGAGAAGATTCGAGATTTGAAAACGTTAACATCTTCTTCCCCTAACCACTGTGTTGACCGTGAACGCCGGACCAGTTCTCGAAACTGATGGTGATATCATATTCGACGGCAGTTACTACGCGATCCCGCTCCCCTCCGACTCTATCGCGTAACATGAGCACCAAAAAAAAAAACATGAGTCTTGTAAGAAGAATCGATTCAGCTCTATAATTGGGCTTACACTTATTAATGGGCTTTATATTAAGTGGACAGCCTGAAGTTCCAATTAGTAAAGCTTGGAGAAGTGAACTAACAATATATCCTGACCGTCCACGTTATACGAACGCATGGTCCTATGGTAATGTCTACGTGGACTATTACTAAGAATTTTTTGTCCTGTCTTGTGTGGGTCATCTATATGGGCCCAAAGCCTTCGACAAAAACTCGGAAAGTCCAAAACGGTCACGTGGGCATGTGGGCCCGTTAGCAAACTAATTTGGCAATTTGCCCATGTTGCCAAACCAAGTTACTAGTAATGTCTAATCAATAAATCGCCTTTAATTTTACTATATACAAATCACATTATAATAATTAAGAATGTGATTTAAAAAGAATTTATCTTTACGACAACATAAAAGATTATATAGTTTATCATTTCTACAGTTTAATAGGTTTTCGTCACTTTGAAAAATATATATGTACAAGGCATAAAGTATGGTTGAAGTTCTATTCTTTCAACGGTTTGGTTAATGATTTATTATTAATTTTTATATTAAGAGGTCGGAGTTTTGAATTTTAAAAATATATAATTATTTAAATTAACAGAAAGTTTTCAGCATGACACAAATACGATTCCCAAAAGATGATTTCAAATAATGGTTTAAGGTGATGCAGTTTTACATAAATTAAAAATTAGCGACGGTATAGAATCGTTTTTAATAATATAGTTATCATGTGTTATAAAAATATAAACTACGAAAATCCAAAACGAGTAGGAACATGTGAAAAAAAGACATTAAAAGTCTGAATAAGACATTTGGTTTTGTTTTCTTTTCCTGCTTTATAATTTATATTATAAACATTGGTGGATGGGGTGGTGGCATCACAAGTCGCCGAAGATGTGAGAATGGGATTTGGCAATATCGCAAAGGTGACCCGTAATTTCTGATTAATCACATCTGCTTTTGAATTTGTTTATACAATCTAGTGGAGACCACTAATTTAATTGATTTTTACTTGCTCCTCTAAAGTTGTGTTGTGACCATCATTACGTTAGTAAAAAAGTATTGTACACTATTTATTTTTTTAGTAACATTGGTAAATTTGGGATAGCAACTTCTCCAAATTGATAGGAGCAATACATACAATTTAATCCTATAAATTATCTATATAAGAGAATGTCACGTCAAAAGTCGGGTTGTTATTAGCCAAGTGGCAACTGAGCTCTGCCTTCGGGCCCTGACGTTAGGGGTTCAACCCTCCTTACCTCCGTTTGAGGATTAAAAGGTCCAAAAGTGATCAAATTGACAAAAAAAAAAGAGAATGTCACGTCAAAAGTCGGCTGTAAGAATTAATTTCTGTATGCCATTTTGTTAATAACTTAATACTATAATAAAAGTGAAGTATGTAGCAACTAGCAAGTGGTTATTCTCATTTATAGTAGTAATACTCCATCCTCATTTATAGCCTATTAATATTGTATTTAACCAATCATTCACACTTCTATAATTATATTCATACAAAGCAACGAAGCGGGACATGTTATATTCCGTGCGACAAACCAAATAAAGTATGATTTGATTGATAATTTGATTACCAGCCTGATTTGACTTGATGATTGATCTTTTTGTTCTAAAAGAATTCAAATGTAAATTACTAGATTTAGTACAGATAGCAAGCATCGATATATAATCACTCTCTAAACGTTCTTAAACCGATGAGTTGAACTATCAATACAGATCTTTTTGGTTTAAGATTTTGTTTATTCCTTTGTCTGAAAGAAAGTAGGATCATATTCGTTCCTTTTTAACTTGTCCAAAGTTCCAATCAGTGCCGGTCCGGAGTCGTGTGGCGCCTAAAGCAGAGAAAAAAAATACTGCCCTTTAGTTATAATTAAAATTTAATATATTTTAAATATGTAATCAAAATAGTTCTAAATATTATTAAAACTTATATCTATTAAACATCATTTGGAGCTCACCTTATGTTTTTCCTTTTTATATTAGTAGTTTCACCTGGCTAATTGCAGTTATACGTTTTGATAGCTTTTCTACAACTTAAAAAAATATACTTATAAATTAATTCAAAACTTATGATAAATAATTCTAATGCAATTCACTTCGTAAAATTTATTGAGTTTTGATAGTCTGATAGAATACTAGAACCCTATAATAAATTTGATGTTTATTTGAATTTCAAAAATTTTACAAGAATTTAAAACAAAAAAAAAAGAACAAAGAAGAAATTTAAAAAAAAATTAATAGGAGATGCAGCTGAACATGGAATATGCACAATTTTTATAATTCAAATTTATTGTCTCTTCATTTTTGTTAATAGAAAAAACTGGAAAGAAAATAAATTATCTTATAATAAAGTAAAAATACTACTAAGGTTTTGTTTTAATTAAATTGTGTACATACCATCTAAAATAATACGTCTAATAAAAATTAAGGTTGTTAGAAAATATAATGAAATCCTCTATATCTTTGACTATTATCAGAAAAGGAATAATATTATTATTATCAAGGGAAAAAATGAATGTTATTATTATCAAGGGAAAAAGGGAGGTAGAGTGTCGAACTGTTGGCTGCAAGTCAAAATAATAAGTGCAATGGCCACTAGACTAAAGTGGACTCCCCAGAATCTGGCGCCCCTCAAATATTGATAATCTGTGGCGCCTAAAGCCCATGCTTCATGGGCTTTAGCCCAGGGCCGGCCCTGGTTCCAATGACCGAAACATTTGTAACTTCTCAATTAACAACAAATCATTTGGAACTGAGATGTCAACTAATGGTAGCGTTTTTATGTTTAAGTTACGAAGTTATAATTTACTTATATGGAGAGCACCATGGAGAATACGATTTAGCTGAACTTTTTTGTAATTATAGATATACAGTTTTTAAGCAAAAAATATAAAAAGTAATAGATGTACAGTATACAAAGGTTGGAATGACTTCCACAAGACTATTCCATATATGACTGGCGCGTGGTCCTTTTGATTGATATAAGAAAATAAGCAAATAAATAAGATAAGATAGGGTTATTAACTAATGTTTTTGGCCGTCTTATCATTTTCCAGATATTTAATTGAAATGTTGTCATATCGAGTAGGGTTATTAACTATTCTTAAAGTGGGTAGGAAATTTAGCTTCAAGATCCTTTTTAATGTTTTTCCAACCTCAAAATATACTATACGAAAAATCCTCAAAATATATATTTTAATTTGTTCTCCAAACAAGCTGCATCCTATCACCATAAATGATTATTTCGGTTTATGTCGGAAATATTATAACTGATTTATTCCATGTTTGTTAATATAGTTAACTTTTGCGGTAATCAGGAACACAGGGATCGAGTTATACAAATTATGAATTTATAACACATGTGTGGCGAATTAGAGAGAGAGTTTGATTCAAGACCAGTAGCCAGTAGTCATAAGTCATACGAACTCATAAGAGCTAACTAATAATTATTGGGACTTGCATACTGTACTAAATTCGGCACGTAGCTCCATGGTTTTAAAAGGAGCTTTACAAAGTATCAGCCCGTTTGAATCGACTGAATTACTAAAGAACAAAAGGATGGTGGATATCCACCAAGGTGAATTGTCCGCAATTTACTCTAACCAACGACATCAAGCTTTCTCGTGCTTGACATGATCTTCTGTCCCTGACTCAGCTATGCTCATACGGTAAAAAAAAATATTTCAAACTTTTCAAATAATATAGAGGTGGATAATATGTGCATGTTCTTAATAATATATGCATGTTAAACCCCTTCCAGTTACATTCATTTTTTTGCTATGCCAATTTCCAAATCTTGGCACATAAAAATTCACATTTTTATTTTTGAAAATACGGCAGAAGTGAACCTAAGTACAAAACCTTAAGGAGAAAAAAACAAAAAAAAACTTATGGAGAACTGAAAAAAGATTTATATGGGTAAGCTGGATAGATCCGGGAGAGGTGCGATTGGATAAGCTATTGACCAAGTACCGATGTTTCCGACCGCCTCCACGTGGTCACACTGCTTGCCTTTCACTTTCATACTCTGACCTTTTGACTGCACGTGACAATTGTCTGTGCACGTGCGGATCAAGCTAACGTGTCCGCTTCATGTACATTGCACCGATCCCTGATGACTCGGCAAGTTGCGCCGATGAAAGTCCGTGGGTCCCCTGCGCCATGAAGCTAGATGGTTCCGATCTATTTTCAGAGAGCCCCACATGGTTCAGTGCACATGTCCACGTTGAGGAGCTTTAGGTGTTACTATAAGAGTAATGGGTGGTGCAACTAAAAACCACGAGACGAAACGATGAGGTCCAAGCATAAATGGATCGGATCAACTTCAGTCACTTCAATAAATTTGCAATTATTGGAATGTATTATACCATGGTAAGTAATTATGTTTGGAGCTATCGACGTTTTTGGATCCAGCAAATTAGTTATATGACAAAACCCCTTTATCAAAAAAAAAAAAAAAAAAAA